GTTACAGTTACAAATTTTAAAACTAGAAGAAAGTATATAACAATATTACAGACTGGACCATAATGATTACATAAAAACGGAAAACAATTAAGAGAACAGTTCACACAATAGCATTAGACCTCTTAATTAACAGATTCTGATTCTGGTAAAGTTGAATTCTTTCTAACTAATTGAAGGAAGGGATTTTTCGAAATCATACCTCCAACTGATTATAGCCTTAAATTCATCCAAAGATAAATCTTTAGGCGCTAACTTATTTATGTACAAGTAATATTTAGCAAGCAGAAGAGTAAAATCGAGCTTTTTGACAATTTCCAATCATTTCTATCATTTAAACAGCTAAAAGTATTAGTTTCTTTTGACGAAATTTCTTAAACCCCGAACTTTGAGTGACAAGATGAAGTGTTTACCTTGCACAGTTACTGTAAGATCAGGGCATAGGGAAAAAAACACTAAAAGAGAATCTGTTAATTAACTGGGCGATAATCAGGAGAATAGCTACCATCAAGAGGATATAAGTACAACTCAGTGCCCGATACAGACCTTGAGATAAAGGGGGGTGGTCATCCAGAGGGGGGGTCCAGTCTCCAAAAAAAATTTTTCTGGCTGTTCGGGCCTGAGTTTGGTCTAAAAATAAGAGAGGGGAAGGCAGGTCCCCCTGGGCCCCTCCCCTGGATCCGCCACTGCAACGTCAGACAAACAAATTTCAATGATTTTTCAAGGACAAATTACAGTTTTTAAGGACTGAGATTTTTTAATAAATCGGCATTCTGTAACCTCCTTTGCTCACTCTATTGGCTAAAACCCTAGCCTTTACAATTCATTTTTGCCTCCATACTACTTTCCGCAACAAGACTGACTGGGTATGACTTGCAATTGCATCTGAGGTACAGAAATCGTTCATGCGAAAAAATGTTTTTACGTTACCCGTGAGTTTTACAGGTTCTTATACACCGAGGATGAGCCAAATTCTCCTCGGCAAAATAATCCGATTAATTCCACAGAAAAAGGAAGGTGTCTCCATTGTAGGTTGTGAATTTCAAGGACTTTTCAAGACCTAATAAAGCGTCCAGTATTTTTTAAGGACCTAAACCGAATTCAAGGACTTTTCAAGACGACTAGTAAAATTCAAGACCTTTTCAAGATTGAACGGACCAAGTATAACAGAAACAGAAAGCAACGCTAAACGGCGACGGCAACGAAAGCGGCAAAAAATAGTAAATAGGTCTAATAGAGAGGAGAGGTGTGACGTCACGTTGCCATGGTAGCAAAAATTCTGGATGACAACTATGAAGAGCTTAAGCAAGGACGACGGCGAAAATAACGAGAACGGCAAAAAGCGATAGGTTTAGCAAAATAAAAACTTTGCATCACGCTTTTTTCTAGCTACATTTCTTAGCCGCCGTTACACGACTGCGACATGGAACTTCCTAATTTCACGGGCCCGCTCTATGGAGTTGGTCAACACAGTACAAAAATTTTCTTTTTTTTTTTTCTAAACTCAGATCTGTCTGATCCAAAAATTTTTCTACTGTGACTTCTCCTCCATTAGCAAAAAAAAAAACAACAACAACCTGGCACTTGCGCAGCACACTTTTTTGTACATTTCTTTGACGTTGTTTTGCACGACTACAATGTGAAACTAATCTCGTACCCAGATCTCACTCTGTACGAGATTAATGTGAAACTTTATGTTGGAATATGTCGTATGTGCTTACCGATGTTTTTTCGTGTTCCTATTCACTTTTTTTCTACACTGCCGCTCATTTTCAGCTTGTTGGCCGCTTTTCCTCATTTTCTCACCGCCAATTTCTGTTTTTCCTCCAACGAAATTTGTCTCTTGTTTTTTGTCTAACGCTTTAGCTCTGTTGTTGACGGCGTCATTGAAGACTTTAAAATTTAGTCGGACTTGACTTTGTTGTTGGTTTTTCTCTCTTCTAAGTCCGGATGGACTTTCTCTCTCTAAAAAGTCGGGGTGCACTTAAGGTTTCCTGCCGAAGAACCCCGTGTTGCATTTGCCATACCTGCTGATTGAGTTATTTTCCACTGGTATGCCTGTGATGCGGAAGGGCGTGCGTACGCTCACGTGATTATTTATGCACAGTGAACCAAAATTCTTACCCATGCTGCACCGCTGCGCGCGCGAGAGCTTTGCCAAAAATGTTTGTGGTGAACCAAGACGTCAAAAACGCCAAAATAGACCTTTGTCACGCGGCAGCCATTTTGTCTCGGGAGATTTAAAAAGCTTTGTTTATGCAGCTAGCCTTGTAGAACCTTAACCTTCTATTGGGGCATGAAGATTTACAGAGATTTCACGGAAATTTTTTCCCTGAGCTGAATTTGTCTGTAAGAAAAATATTAAAACTTTATAACGACTATCCGCTGAGCAAAAGTTACGGAATCAAAGCTTTCAACCTTAGACATTGGTTCAATGAACATAATTTGATATCTATTGCGAGCGGAAAGTCACGGCATTGTTCAAGCATTTTGCAAAGGCAAAAGACATTTAAGTCTTCAGCCTCGCCGAAGCCTATTTCCCTTTCGTAAACGATCGTTGCCATTTATAACACGCGATACCACCATGTTGGTAACCAAGCCTTTAGTCATGATGTAATATGTTCCCTGGATTAACTTACAATAAGAACGCTCTTAATAGGCAAGTCTCGCTTGCTTGGAGATTAGACAACAGATAAGGAGGCGATTAATTCTACGCGAAGCAGGATTTCTTCGCTAAAAGATTTCACTTCCCGCTTTATCCGCAGTCGAGTATTCTTCAGAATATTTAATAAATTTAGAATAGTTAATGAATATTTTCTTCACAGTATACGCTTGTACGAATACAAATCATTGCTAGAAAGTAAAAACGTAATGAACATGGCGCCTCATTTCAATCATCGCCAAAAATAAAACGCATGCTCATCACAAGACTCATTTTCATACAATGAAAGTTTACAACGCCCGACCAGTTTATAGCCTCACCATCAGATCGAAGTTTTCACTGAAGCATTCACTTGTTCAAAAGTAATCAACGATTTCATGCAATAGAATTCGTGGACCGACCCGTTCCCGGAAAGTTCGACATCTCTGCATCAATCTTTCCTAAGCTTTCTTCACAAAATAGAGCATGGCTCTGTGACACGTAGCAATTTCCATCCTCTGTTTCCACAATCTCCACTACTAACGCCTGGGACCATGATTTCCCTTTTGGCGCGCACACAAGCGAGACTAACTACCTACTTTGCTGATCTATGTTTTAAAAGCTCAGCTAGTAAGTCTTTTTTTTTTTTTTTCCGGGGAATAAGTTCCTTATCTCAACTCAAAAGACTCGTCGTTTGTCATAGTTATTAAAAAAATGTGCGTTTGTTTCGCTTGAACCCAGCAAACATGTAGGATTGGTCTCAGACCTAATAGTCCGCATTTCCTCTAAGCCACCGGTGGGAGGGACTCTGCATATGAAAGGGGTGACGATGCTCGTCGGAAATTTTGAATTAAACCCCTAAAGGAGACCGATCTGGGCGTGGCTAAAGCTTTTTTTGACCCCTAAAAGAGACCATGTTAACACACAGACAATATATGCATTTTTATATTTTTCGCGTGCAACCCTAAACGAGACCTTCACGGCTAAATATAATGGCGTTTTGCCCAGAACACCCCAAGGGAGACCATAATCCGAAATTTACACCCCTAAGCGAGACGACGAGCATCCCCACCCCTTTCCTATGCGGAGTCCCCCCCCGGTCTAAACCATCGTTTAACTCATTCACCGCAAACCAGCTGCCATTTCTACTTTGATATCGCGCCAATAGTTTGGAATAACTTACTTCCATTTGACTGACGAACTTTGTCCTAATACAATTAAAGAATAATACAAGAATATTTTCAGCCTAAAATCGGCAGAAAAAAAATATAAGAACATTCAGCCTGTGTGTTTTAAACTGAAGAAACTGAAGCTATATAATACGACATACATCTTATTAGCTGCCTTAAAGTTAATAAAGGATACTAGTTTAAGTTGATTTTTTTGTATTCGATTGCAGTTTGAGGCATATATTACTTTTGACACATGGTTGCTCAGCGGATTACCACGTCATGTGCAAACAGGTGTTCTGAATATTTGCAATTGATACTATATTAAGGAACGGATTATTTATTAAGTAACTAGGGTGCTGTGTCTTTAGGCCGCCTCATACTCTTTAAGTCACGCGTGAACATGTAGTTTATCAAAAAATGTGTTCATGGGTCCAGCAAATACTGTTGGATTGGTTTGCGACGTAAAAATTCCGTTTTCCTCTTAAGTCACGTCTCAGCTCGTTCTGTCTGACTGTATGTTTGCGATTGATAATTGAAAACCAACTGCCTTTGCTTATTTAATATTGCATCAGTAGTTTCATATAACTTCCTTCCGTTTTAACTGACGAACTTCAACATTTATACGACCTATTGAGTTTCGCTTGAAAGAAAATTAATACTAATTACTGTGTAATGATGACGTTACATTTCAAGTTTTAATTCCGGGTTCAGACATGCAAAGTTTTCAATTTCAAGCAAGGTGAGAGTTTGGATATTGTGAGCACGACTTAGGACCATTTTTTACTACTATCGCGGAAGACTCAACAGTACTCAGTTAAAAACCAATTGCCATCGGAGGAGGAAGTCTGGACTATATTCAGTAAGTCTCGCAAAGAGTAATTTCCAGCCTCAGTCTCGTGAAAAAAAGAAAACACTTGCAGAGTTCCTCAAAAGTACAGCTGCTGAAACTTAAGACTGTATATAACGCTCCATTCAATGGTGGAAGCTGAAGGTCAGTCTCATTCAAAAACGGATGAAACCTAGAAAGCAATGAAATTCAGATCTTTACGTATTATAGAAACTGAACGCTGATTAGGGCTATATATAAAAAAAAAAAAAAAAAGATGGCGAGTGCGGAAGGCTTGAATTTGACATTTGTTTTCTTCAACGCTTTCTTGTCTTTCACCGCCATCGTATTAAACATCATAACCATGCAAGCGCTCAGAAAAACGTCGTCGTTGCCTAAGACTTTAAAAACATTGCTACTAAGCTTGGCTGTGTCTGATCTGGGTGTAGGCTTACTTGTCCATCCACTGTATGTTGCAACTCTTGTGATAGAAAAAAACAGTACTGCTTATTCTACAGTAGAGTTAGCGCGTTCAATCCAGGCAAAAATATTGGTCTTTGCTTCGAATTTTGGTGTTTTTGCAATAGCTGTGGACAGATTCTTGGCCATTCAGCTTCATCTCAGATATCAGGAGCTTGTGACTCACAAACGAGTTGTTGCTGTTGTGATCTCACTCTGGGTGTTTAGTGCAGCAATTTCCTTTCCAAGTCATCCTATTATGCGAGCGGTCATTGTAGTTGTTTGTGTCACAACTACAGGATTGCTTTATTGCAAGATATACGCTTCCGTCAGACACCACACAAATCAGATTCACGCTCTGCAAGTGCAACGGGCGACACAGAATGAAGATATGGCAAATGCCGCAAGGCTGAAAAAATCTTCACTGGCTACATTCTACGTTTATTTCGTGTACTTAGTTTGCTATTTGCCACTTTCTTGTTATCTTTTTGCTAAGACCGTCAACGCTGAAACTCCCTTGTTATCTCATTTATTGTATTTCACAAGGACACTTGTGTTTCTCAATTCATCCCTCAATCCCTTGATCTACTGCTGGAAGATGAGACACATTCGACAAACTGTTATGGATATACTTCGAGATATTTTCGCGATTTGTCCCCGCTAAAGAAAGGATCTAACTGAGAATAACTTAATCGGCTTTTTTCTCTCTGAGTGGGGAAAAAATTAGCTTTCCAGCAATACTATTGGAAAAATGACACTAAATATAAAAGGGAACTGAAACCTTCTTGAGGGGGGCATTGGGATTTTCGGTTTTGCGGTTTTGGCTATTTTTTAGATCGGTTTTTCGGTTTTTGTTGCAAAAGAGTTCGGTTTTTCGGTTTTGGTGGTCATTGCGGTTTGTGGATTTTTCGTTTTTCAGCATCTGGTTTTCAGTTTTCGTGAAAAATACTAGCGGTTTTTCGGTTTTGGTACCCGATGTGGTTTTTGGTTTTTGGAAGGGCAGTGAGGTTCAATAATCGACTGCTTTTTTGAGTATCTGTTTATTACCACATTAAACCTTAGAGCAAGTTCCTGCTGCCATGTAAAACTGAAAAGGAACTAATTGTACCGGTTAGCTTCCTCAGTGTCGACTCAGCTCAGTGCAATCGCATGTTAGACAATCGAGTCTCCAAACTTTCAGGTGTTAGTTATCAAATGGAAATGTTCGATTAGAGATTTTCGATTGAAGTTTCCAGGGCTATAGCTTTTTACGACGGCAAAATTGCAATTCTAAAGAGGACTTGTGTGCAAATTCTCCTAAGTTAACTAGGCTCCATAACTAGCGGCTTTTCGGAAATTGAGCCGCAAAGTCTGGGCTCGAGAGAGCGGAAGAAACAAAGCCTATGATTAAGTAGACACAAAAAGATACGAAGGCTTCAGACAAAGGCCATGACATTCACAAATACTTTGGTGAAATTAGAGTTAGTTTAGTTTGCTCTGTATGCCCGACTTGTCACCACTGTATCGGTTTTTGACGGTTTTGTATGCGGTTTTCGGTTTTGGCCGAATTTTTTTGCGGTTTTGCGGTTTTGGATGATTTTTTTCTTCGGTTTTGCGGTTTCTAATATACCCCAATGCCTCCCTTCTTCTTGTACTCCCTGTTTGAAGGCCAAGGTATAAATATATGATCGAGTGAGTATGAGATTTCAGTTTGCTTTGAAATAATTAACAAATAACGGGAAACTTCGAAAGTATTATTTATCAAAGTCAGAAAGAGGGCGAAAAGAAAAAGCTGGGTGGTTTAGGACGAATGACGAGTGACGTGATAAATAGAGGGCCGAGTTTCCAAATTTTCATGGGCAAAAAGTTCTGTGTGCAGTAAAGTGTCTTAAAAAGTTTACTAGATTTTGTTAACCATAGTGCATGTAATAAAGAAAACTAACTAAAGAGGAGAGAGATCAAAACTCTGTCAATAAATCTTCCATACTGAATGTGCCAAGAGTGGCGAAACGATTTACCGATATAACAACAACAACAACACACAATAATAATTATTATTATTAAAATAAAAATAATAAGAATAATGCTAATAAGAATAATAATGATAAGGAGAACAACACAGCCTATACTATTTGTTGAGAGAGAAGAAAACTAGTAGTTTATACTGTTGAGAATATGTATTACAATACTTGTAATTGGTTCACATCAATAAAGTTCACGTGAAAAAGTTAAAATGTTTTGAAGAATGGTAAAAATATACCATTTAATCAGGGTTTTTTTTTAATTTGTCGAGTCCAGAAATTACTGAATAAGATCACAACATTTGAAAGTTTCAGACTGGGGGAGAAAGAGCTCTTCTCACAGCGCAACCGATTGGAACAAATGATCGATAGCTAAATGACATCATAATACTAAAATACCATATTACGGAACCAGAAAGCAGTCATAATATGGCTCTAGTATCAAGCAAAGAGCTTCTTGCTCTCAGAGATTAAAAACTTAAAACCATAATGTTTGACGAAGCAATTAAGTATAAGGCCCAGGGTTGAGCCTAAGTACACAGTTTCCTCATGTCCCTGTTCAACGTCTTGCAAGCAACTCTCGGTACGTGGGTTTACAATAGAGTTAAAACCTTGTACGAGACCGTACTTAATAGGGCCATTTATACGAGGAAAAGTAAGACGCGTCTTATTTTAGAACAGCCCTTAACACCAGTTCTTAGATAAGACGCGTCTTACCTAAGACGAGAAAAACTTCGTATAAATGACCTTCGCGTCTTAAATAAGACGCGAACGCATAGTACGCATGCGTTGATTTTTGGCGCGCTACTTCGGATTGGAGTTGCTACGGGCAACATTCACATGAAAACGAGTCAAGAACAGAAATAAGACGCGAACCATTTATACGAGCTGTTCTCGTCTTAGATAAGACATGCTCGTATAAATGGTACAGTTCGCGTCTTATTTAAGACGCGTCTTATGTAAGACGCGTCTTATTTTTCCTCGTATAAATGGCCCTAATGTTTCTATAGGCATTTAGAAAGAGCGAGTCCAAAAAGTAATTATTGTAACAAACGATGTATAACAGAAGAAAAGTAACAACGTGAAAATGAAAAAAACAAATGACAAAAATCGTATTTTTCCACTATTCTTAAACTAACATGTGTTCTCTCCGACACGTTAATTTTCCTGTTCGGTGGTTGCGAGAGCTCTTTCATAATCATGAAAGTTCTTCCACAATTTCTGTTTCAAGGGAGGGAGGGAAGAAAGGTATGCTCTTGTTATTTAGCAACTTTTAACCTCAAAGAAAAATACAATACATGCACACTTCATACACACTGAAGTTTTTTTTTTTATTTTGGCCTACAATGTAACTTCTAGGTTTAACACCCTAGCAAGTAGCGTTTTTTTAATGGGTAATAAATTTTCTATCTAGACTCCTCCCTGTGACTCGTCATAGATCGTTGTTTATCAAAAGGTCTGCCCCATATTTTTTGTTTGGGTCCAGTAAATACATTGGATTGGTCTCCGACTTGAAAGTCGATTTTTCCTATAAACCATCGTTTAACTCTTTCTTTGTGTATGACTTTGTATTAGCGATTGATTGCAACCAGCTGCTGTTAATAGAGCATTTTCGTGTGACCTTAAAACGAAAACGAATTTATTATAATTAAAATTTTTTCGTTTTTTTATAGTTTTTACTTGAGTTCAGCAAACAAGAAAAAAAAACAAAAAACCTTATTGAGTTATCTCCAAAATTGAACATTACAGTTGGACAGATTGTGAAAACTAAAGTCCGGGTAAATTTAAAACATAATAAAATCATTTTTAATCACTTTTTATCTTGTATAGTAATACTACTTTGCAATGACGAATAAGTATGCCAAAAGAATATAATGCACTGCCCTTGAAAAACTAACAAAGAGGTTGCAAGAACACAAATAAGTAGCCCAGCAAATATTTTTGTTTGACGATAACAACTTTTGGTAATGAAATGGTCACTGAAAACTACCCATGCAAGACATACTAAGGAACTTAAAAGAAACTAAACATTCACAAGTCTTACATTGAAACAAGACATTGCTATATATATATCTTACAGAAACAACATAAAACATTTATATAACATACAAATTCAAAAGAATATTGCAAACAAGAAAATTATACATAATTATGCACAAATGAAATGCAAATGGCCTGTAACAGCCATTAAACCATTGAAAAACAAACTTTTTAGTGTGACCAGCAACCCTAGCACACTTGTATACTTCATGTCCAGTATGATTTAAGTTCATTCTTGGTTAAATTTATTAACTGCAGCCAGGCTTAAAGGGAACCTCCACTCTTACTACAGTATAAGTTTAAATCGATTAAAATTATGTTGATAAACAAATTTGTTCGAAATTTGTCCTTAAAAAAAAGTGTTTATATCAGGAAAAGTGAATTTTAAAATCGCTTATTTTCACTTTCAAATTTCGCGGGCGCCGCCATCTTGAATAATTGTGACGTGTTACGGTTGCTCTATAGTTCTGACACAAAGAGCTTTTGTTTAATAGCAATAGGGCAACCGTAACACTTCACAATTATTCAAGATGGCGACGCCCGCAAAATTTGAAAACAAAAATAGGCGAATCTAAAAGTTATTTCTTTCGGATACAAACGCTTTCTTTAAAAATATTTTAGATTGACTTGACTGTAACAGTTATTTCCTGTGATTTAAAGTTATCTTTTTGTTGAAGTGGAGGTTCCCTTTAATCAAACTTCAGGCAAAATTACTTTCCTGTTTCCTTGTCTACAATATATAATATTAAGAGGGAGAATATAACGCTAGAAATATTATACAGTAGTACAATCAAAAGATAAGGCACCTCCAGGAAATCGAGTTGGTCCCTACTATTCTTCAGCCATTTTCTTTTACTCTCTATAAGAGTTACACCTGTCCATTAATACAGACATTTTGTGCCAGTCCCAATAGTTTCCATCTGAGAACTGACTGTAGTTTGTGCAACACCACACTTAAGCCTCTGACGACAAAAATACAATGTTACACAGCAGTCTTAATTTATTCTACTTGCAATCAAATTAAGACCTCTTCATGCTCTTCTTCATATTCACGGTATTATGAACTCGTTTATCTTTCAGTGTGTGTTCTGACTAGTAGTCTTTTCAGGCGGGCACTCATTGTTGTCCTGCAAAAAATCATTATAATAACAAATAAACACATTATATGATTTAATTTTACAGACGAATCTTTGTGGGGATTTGAAAGCAAATTTCTCCATAGGCTTCTTTCTGTTTCTGTATAATACAACCTTTAGATTTATACCGCAGTGGAGCAGAATTTGTTGTTGTTCATGTACAGACTGTCACACGAGATCATTCGAATGCAATTTTCTAGTAGAACTTTAAAAATAGTCAGAACCTTCTTGGATCGCGGTTCTGTAACTAAAAAAAATTATTTACCATCTTAGTGTATCTAAAAAAAAGAAAAACCGCTGAATTGGGCAAATGAAATCTTTTATTTTACTAACAGGCTAAACGTCGACTTACAAAACAAAAACCTTGCCATCGCCATTATGAAGTCGTCACTTCAGAAGTAAAAGAACCTTAAAGGTTCATAAAAGTTCACTCTAAAAAGTTGCATGCACAAACAAAAGTTATAAAACCATTTTTTGTAGCCGTTTATTATCATTTGGTTTTGACTGGCAGGATAAAACGTGACATGTTCAACGATTCGATAGGCCATTTTGACACTACATAAACATAAAAGGCGAGGAAACACCTTAACTTATAAGACTTACTGTAAAATATCACCTAACTAGTTTCTGTATATCGCATAGAAATACGCCAAATATCAAATCTAATTATAGATTGTAGCGATCTAAAGATATAAAGCAAAAACTCCGAACCTACCTCCAGCTCGGCGCCATTTTTCTTGCCCTGACAGCGGTAACACTTGACAGCGGTCGAGAGCGGAAAGGCCAACTAGTTCCAGTCCTACTCCGCATCATAGCTGCATGAACACAAACCAGATTCGCGCTCTGCAAGTACCTGAACAAGTAGCTCAGAATGGAGACATGGCAAATGCCGCAAGGCTGAGAAAAACTGCTGTTGCTACATTTCACATGTATATCTTGTTTTTAATTTTTCATATTTATAGTTTGTTCAAAAAATATATAAACTCGTGTAATGCGAAGCTACGAAGGCAACGCCGAAGAACGGTAAAAAACAGCAATAGGTCTAATTAGCAAAAAAGCAACTTTGCACGTGCAGCACACTTTTTTGTACATTTCTTTGCCGTTGTGTTGCACTACTACAACGTGAAACTTTCACAAACTTCTTAGGGATGCACCATTAGAAATGTGAAGGGGGGTAGGACTTTCTGGAAAGGCATGTTATTTTTTTCACAACCAGCAGGAGTGCAGGATTTTTTTTTTCAACCTTCAAACCCTTGCACGATTTTTTTTTTTTTTTCAAAATGACTATGCCCTCTTTTGGTCTTGTTTTACTAGACTGTTTCAACCGCGCAAATGTTTTTTGTTGTAGTGTTCCAACAGAACACGTTTGTTTTAAGTATATTTTTTCATACTAATTGAGATTTTCTATTGAAATTTGGCGTGTGAAAACCCTGTTCAGTGTTCGCAGCCAATCAGAATGGCGAAACGACTTTCACACACGTGAAAAAAAGCGTTTCGTCCAGTCACAGATGTTTAGTACATAATGTAATAGGACACCTAAACACGTGCAGTGTTAGACATGGACTTTTTTCGCATTGTATGTCAGATAAATCTCTCTCGCTTTCTGGATCTCACTCGCAAAGCCTTGCTCGTTCAATTTCTGATGCGAACCAACTCGTGCGTAAATACCGTACGCCCGCGCTGCCCATGAAGTAATCTATACGTTCAAACGTCCGAACTGAGTTCAGTGGCAGTTGAAACAGCTACACAAGCAGATCAAACGGTGTTTTACCCAAAGTAAACAAAAAATTCCAACCAACCAAAAAGAGTTAATACAAATAGAACATAGCCTTTAAAATAGTAATTTGTGAAATGTATGTTGTGTCCTCGCTTTGAATGAGAAGTTTGTACATTTCTAGGAAATAATAAACTTGCGTGCAAGTGGAACTATTGACGTTGTTAACACAATCTCACTTTAATCCCATTAAAACAAAAGTATTTCAATAAAAAAGTTTATTTAATTTATAAAGTTAAACAATTATCACCACAGTCTCTTAATTTAATACTATGGCAGCTATAGAGATCAAGGGCATCAGAGTTGGTTCAAATTGAAATCTCTATTTAGCCAGTAGAAATTGTTTTTTCTGCCTGAAATGTAGTTTGACATGAATTTAGGAAGTTGGGGGAAGGGGATTTCCTGTTACAGATCACAGATTTATTTTTCAGACTGTGTAATATATTGTCGCAGTCACATTGGTTATCCAAGCAGGATATTTTTTTCTGGTTTCGTTGCAATGCAGGATTTTTTTTTCTTAAAATTTTGTTTTGCAGGATTTTTGTTTTTGTTTTTGGACTCCCCCCCCCTTCACATTTCTAATGGTGCATCCCTTAGTTACGCGCTTTATGGGGGAAATGTCGTACGTGTTCTCGCTCACTTTTTTTTCACTGCCGCTCATTTTCACATTGCATTGGTGGCCGCTAGCATTTCTCATTTTCTCACCGCAGCTACAAAATTGTCATGTTGTTCTTGTAACAAAAAACTTTCTCCTTTTTTGTTTATCTCTCGCTCTAGATCTCTGTCGCCCTTTTTCTCGTTGAGCTTCGCTGGCGTGCCGCCTAGTTTCTCTTTTTTTTCTGTCTTTCACTTCCTCTATTTTCCAATTTTTTGAGAAAGACAGTTCAATTAATCTAAGCTTTTAAGCTTAGATTTATTGTCATGTCCAAAAATTTGGAGAAGTATTACAATACTTCAGACAACACGGATACAGAAACAATTTCTGCTTTCCGTTTTCGTCTTTATTGACTCTTTAGTTGTCTCTGCTTTACAACACTTGAGTGGCTATGCGATTTTCCGCTCAAATAACCTCGAGTTCCATTTGGGTTACCATACCTGTTGATTGACTTATTTTACATTAGTATGCCTGTGGTGCGGACAGACGGTCAGTTGCTCGGTCGGGCGGTGTACGGTCACTTGATTACCCAATTTTTTAGGATGGGTAGATTTACTTAGCTATGGAGCTCCGCTACGAACAGAGTTAATTTACACGTTCAGGGATGGTTTAAACTTTGGAGAAGGTATCCTTAATATACAGGTAGCTACAACTGCATTAATACAGGTTTCAATGTATTTCTCTGATGCACAGATAACCAAATTTTCTTACCCACGGTGCACCGCTGCGCGCGCGAGAGCTTTGCCAAAAATGTTTGTGGTGAACCAAGACGTTCAAAACGCCAAAATAGATTTATGCCACGCGGCAGCCATTTTGTCTCAGGAGATTTAAAAAGCTTTGTTTATGCACAGCAAGCCTCGTAGAGAGAACGAGGCTTTTTAACAAAGCTTTTTAAATCTCCTGAAACAAAATGACCGCCGTGGGACAAAGGTCCATTGCCTAATTCCTTTGTATCGCGTATCGTCTGTCTGGCCTGGGGGTTAATTAGTCCCTCTAATTATAATGACCAATGCGGGGAGGCTCAGCCCGAAAAGGGTACCTTTTTCACGCCTCAGGTATATGAAAGGGTAGGGATTTCACTAGTTGAAGTAAATGAAACTGTAGGTAGATTTGTCATTTCGGTCCGTAACAAGGCCCAACACAACTGAAAGATGCATTATGTCTGTGAGAGAGTCGGCGCGAGAAAACTTTCTGGCTTTCAGATTTTTTCACATGAAAAGACACTCCATTTACAGCAGTTCGAAGGGATACAAAGTTCTGAACTAGGTATGTGAAAGGGGTACCATTTATCAATAGAAGGCAGACGAAAGGGGTACTGTTGAAGTGACAAATGAAATAATTGATTACAAATGTTGTAAAAATTGGCCACAAATGTAATAGAAACCTAAAATGCTATCAAAACCGTATATTACTCGAAAGAGTACCGCTTTAAATTAAAGTCCGCGGCACCCTTTCGAAAAACACAACTCTATTGCCGTGATTTAATCCAAAGAGCGCAGCCCTCAAATAACTTTCGCAACTTAAAGTCGAAAAACAATAAGCGCCGTGGCGCTCTTTCCAGTAAACAGAATTTAATACACTGTTCTTGCGCCCGCTCGCTCGCTGTCCGGACGAGAAACATTGTTTTACTTGCCCTGACCGTATCAGCAAATCGGGACTAGTGTGCGAGAATTTGCATCATATATTGGGAGTGTCACGTGGACAAACTAAAAGCAAGGGGTAACTCCTGATCTGCCTTCCCCGCGTACGCATGGGAGAACTGCCTTGCGGTTCTCAGCCAGCAGCTCCCAAGATTGGCTCAATGACCAAAATAGTGTTTCCTCAAGATCAACACGGATACAAACTGGAAAATATGAAATCTGCGGCGTTCCCACATGCACATGTTACAGTTACAAATCTTAAAACTAAAAGACTGGTATATAACAACTAAATATTACAGATTGGACCATAACGATTACAGTAGATTAAAACAGAAAAGAATAACACAGCAGTTCACACAATAGCATTAGACCTGTTAATTTTTCGAAATCATACCTTCAACTGATTCTAGCCTTAAATTCATCCAGAGCTAAATCTTTAGGTGCTAACTTATTCATGTACAAGTAATTCTTAGCAATCAGAAGAGTAAAATCGAGCCTTTTGACAATTTCCAATTAATCATTTCTATCTTTTAAAAAGCTCAAAGTACTATTTCTTTTGACGCGATTTCTCAAACCCCGAACTTTGAGTGACAAGATGAAGTGTTTACCTTGTACCGTTACTGTAAGATAATGCCATAGGGAAAAAACACTAAAAGAGAATCTGTTAATTAAGTGGTCGATAATCAGGAGAATAGCTACCAAGAGGATATAAGTACAACTTAGTGCCGGATACAGACCTTGAAATAAGGGGAGTGGGGGAAGGGCGGTCATCCAGACCCTTAGATAAGAGGAGCCCAGTCTCCGAAAAAAGTTTTTTTTGGCCCTTTGGGCCTCAGTTTGGTCTAAAAATAAGACAAGGGGAGGCCGGGCCCCCTGGGCCCGTTCCCTGGATCTGCCACTGCAACTTCAGACAAACAAATTTCAATGATTTTTCAAGGACAAATTACAGTTTTTAAGGACTAAGATTTTTTAATAAATCAGCATTCTTTAACCCCCTTTGATCACTTTATTGGCTTTAGCTCTGTTGCCGACGTCATTAAAGACTTTAAAATTTAGTAGGACTTGACTTTGTTGTTGGTTTTTCTCTCTTCTCAGTCTGGATACACTTTCTCTCTCTAAAAATTCGGGGTGGAAAAAACCCCGTGTTGCATTTGCCATACCTGTTGATTGAGTTATTTTACATTGGTATGCCTTTGGTGCGGAAGGGTGTGCGTACGCTCACGTGATTATTAATGCACAGTGAACCAAAATTCTTACCCATGGTGCACTGCTGCGTGCGCGAGAGCTTCGCAAAAAAGGTTTGTGGTGAACCAAGACGTCCAAAACGCCAAAATAGATTTTTGTCACGCGGCAGCCATTTTGTCTCGCGAGACTTAAAAAGCTTTCTTTATGCACAGCTAGCCTCGTAGAACTTTAACCTTCTGTTGGGGCATGAAGATTTTCAGAGGTTTCAAGGAAATTTTTTGCCTGATCTGAATTTGTCTGCAAGAAAAATATTAAAATGTTAAGCGACTATCCGCAGAGCAAAAGTTACGGAATCATAGCTTTCAACCTTAAACGTTGTTTCAATGAACATAATTTAATATCTATTGCGAGCGTAAAGTCACGGCATTGCTCAAGCACTTTACAACTGCAAAATATATTCAAGTCTTCAGCCTCGCCGACGCCTATTTCCCTTTCGTAAACAATCGTTGCCATTTACAACACGCGATACCACCATGTTGGTAACCAAGCCTTTTGTCATGATGTAATATGTTCCCTGGATTAACTTACAATAAGAACGCTCTTAAAAGGACGAGTCTCGCTTGCTTGGAGATTAGATAACAGATAAGGAGGCGATTAATTCTACGCAAAGCAGGATTTCTTCGCTAAAAGGTTTCACTTCCCGCTTTATCGACGGTCGAGTATTCTTCAGAATATTTGACAAATTCAGAATATTTAATGAATATTTTCTTCAGAATATACGCGTGTACAAATACAAATCATTGCTAGAAAGTAAAAACATAATGAACATGGCGTGTCATTTCAGTCATCGCCAAAAATAAACCGCATGCTCATCACGAGACTCGTTTTCATACAATGAAAGTTAACAACGCCCGACCAGTTTATAGCTTTTCCATCAAAGTTTTCAGTGAAGGATTCACTTGTTCCAAAGTAATCAACGCTTTCAAGCAACAGAATTCGTGGACCGACCCGTTCCCGAAAGTTCGACATCTCTGCATCAATCTTTCCTAAGCTTTCTTCACAAAATAGAGCATGGCGTTGTGACAGGTAGCAATTTCCATCCTCAGTTTCCACGATCTCCACTAGTAACGCCTGGGACCATGATTCCCCTTTTGGCGCGCACACAAGCGAGACTAACTACCTACCTTTCTGATCTATGTTTTAAAAGCTTAGCTAATATTTTTTTTTTCCGGGGAACAAGTTCCTTATCTCAACTCAAAAGACTCCTCGTTTGTCACAGTTACTAAAACAAAAGGGCATTATCAATCATTTGCCCCAGTCCGTCTTGTGACGAAACACTTAATGAAACTGGTATTCCAACCATTATTTCATATTGCGAGGACATATGTGACAAGGTTTTTAACGCTGCCCTCTGCAACAAGGATAACAAACTTAACAAGTTATTAACTGAAGCCAATAAGGCTCCATATTTACTAAGAAATCACCGATACTTTGCACTTCCAAAGTGGAAAACGGACCGTTTTAAGAACACTTTTATTTTGTCATCGTGCTTAATTAAAGTACAATTAAATGATTCGGTTTGAATGCCTTTATATATTATATGCATGAATTTTTGATATATTTAATATTGATGTATGGTAAATTATTTTATTTTTAGCTTAGTTTTATTCGTAAATACGCAATTTAGTCTCTGGCTGCCAGCGTATTTATTTTTGAATAATGGGCGTTTGTTTCGCTTAAGTCCAGCAAACATATAGGATTGGTCTCAGACCTAATAGTCCGCGCTTCCTCTAAACGATCGTCTAACTCTTTCCTGTTTGACTTTCTCTTTACGATTCACCGCAAACCAGCTGCCATTTCTACTTTGATATCGCGGCAATAGTTTCGCATAACTTACTTCCATTTGACTGACGAACTTTATCCTAATACAATTAAAGAATAATACAAGAATATTTTCAGCCCAAAATCGGCAGAGAAAAATAAGAATATTCAGCCTATGTCTTTTAAACTGAAGCTATATAATACGACTTACATCTTATTAGCTGCTTTAATTATTAAGGAACAGATGATTTATTAAGTAACTAGGGTGCTGTATCTTTAGGCCGCCTCACACTCTTTAAGTCACCCGTGAACATGCAATTTATCAAAAAATGTGTTCATGGGTCCAGCAAATACTGTTGGATTGGTTTGCGACGTAAAAATTCCGTTTTCCTCTTAAGTCACGTCTCAGCTCGTTCTGTCTGACTGTACGTTTGCGATTCATAATTGAAAACCAACTACCTTTTGCTTATTTAAGATTGCATCAGTAGTTTCATATTACTTCCTTCCTTTTTAACTGACGAACTTCAACATTTATACGACCTATTGCGTTTCGCTTGAAAGAAAATTAATACTTATTACTGTGTGATGATGACGTTACATTTAAAGTTTTAATTCCGGGTTCAGACATGCAAAGTTTCAATTTCAAGCAAGGTGAGAGTTTGGATATTGTGAGCACGACTTAGAGACTTTTTTTAATAACTCAACAGTACTCAGTTAAAAACCAATCGCCATCGGAAGAGGAAGTCTGGAGAATATTCAGTAAGTCTCGCAAAGAGTAATTTCCAGCGTCAGTCTCGTGCAAAAAAAGAAAAAAATTGCAGAGTTCCTCAAAAGTACAGTTGCTGAAACTTAACACTGTATATAACGCTCCATTCAATGGTGGAAGCAGAAGGTCAGTCTCATTCAAAAACGGATGAAACCTAGAAAGCAATGAAATTCAGATCTTTGCATATTATAGAAACTGAACGCTGATTAGGGTTATGTAAAAAAAAAAAAAAAAAAAGATGGCAAGTGCTGAAGGCTTGAGTTTGACATTTGTTTTCTTCAACGCCTTCTTGTCTTTCACCGGCATCGTATTAAACATCATAACCATGCAAGCGCTCAGAAAAACGTCGTCGTTGCCTACGACTTTAAAAACATTGCTACTAAGCCTGGCTGTGTCTGATCTGGGTGTAGGCTTACTTGTCGAACCACTGTATGTTGCACTTCTTGTGATGGAAAAAAACAGTGCTGCTTATTCTACAGTAAAGTTAGCGCGTTCAATCCAGGCAAGAATATTGGTCTTTGCCTCGAATTTTGGTGTTTTTGCATTAGCTGTGGACAGGTTCTTGGCCATTCAACTTCATCTCAGATATCAGGAGCTTGTGACTCACAAACGTGTTGTTGCTGTTGTGATCTCATTCTGGGTGTTTAGTGCATCAATTTCCTTTCCGAGTCATGCTATTATGCGAGCGGTCATTTTCGTTTTTTGTGTCATAACTACAGGATTGCTTTATTGCAAGATATACGCTTCCGTCAGACACCACACAAAAAAGATGCACGCTCTGCAAGTTCGACAGGCGACACAGAATGAAGATATGGCAAATGCCGCAAGGCTGAAAAAATCTTCACTGCCTCATTCTACGTTTATTTCGCGTACTTAGTTTGCTATTTGCCAATATCTTGTTTTCTTTTTGCCAAGACCGTCAACGGTGAAACTCCCTTGATGTCTCATTTAAGGTCTTTCACATTGACTCTTTTGCATCTCAATTCATCCCTCAATCCCTTAATCTACTGCTGGAAGATGAGACACATTCGACATACTGTTATGGACATACTTCGAAATATTTTCGCGATTTTTCCCCACTAAAGAAAGGATCTAACTGAGAATAACTTAATCGGCCTTTTTCTCTCTGAGTGCTGAAAATATTAGCTTTCTAGCAATACAATTGGAAAAATGACACTAAATATAAACGGGAACTGAAACCTCTTGTACTCTCTGTTTGAAGGCAAAGGAAGAAATATTTGATCGAGTGAGTATAAGTTCATGAGATTTCAGTTTGCTTTGGAATAATTAACAAATAACGGAAACTCTGAAAGTATTATTTATCAAAGTCCGAAGGAGGGCAAAGAGAAAAAAATAGTTAGTTTAGGACGAATGACGAGTGACTTGATAAACAGAGGGCCGAGTTTCCAAATTTGCATGGGCAAAAAGTTCTGTGTACAGTAAAGTGAGTTTACTAGATTTTGTTAAGGCCATAGTGCATGCAATGAAGAAAGCTAACTAAAGAGGAGAGAGATCAAAACTATGTCAATAAATCTTGCATACTGAATGTACCAAGAGTGGCAAAAAGATTTACCGGTATAACAACAACAATAACAATACATAATAATAATTATTATTATTATTATTAATAAAAATAATAAGAATAATACTAATAAGAATAATAATGATAAGAAGAACAACGCGAGCCTATTTGTTGAGAAAGACGAAAACTAGTAGTTTATACTGTTGAGAATATATATTACAATATTTGTAACTGATTCATATCAATAAAGTTCACGTGAAAAAGTTAAGATGTTTTGAAGAATGGTAAAAATATACCATTTAATCAGGAAACAGCTCTCCTGACAGCGCAACCGATTGGAACAAATGATCGATAGCTAAATAATACTAAAATACCATGATATGGAACCACAAAGCAGTCATAATATGGCTCCAATATCAAGCAAAGAGCTTCTTGCTCTGAGATCAAAAAGTTAGAACCATTATGTTTGAAGAAACAATTAAGTATGAGGCCCAGGGTTGAACCTATTCAGTTTCCTCATGTCCCAGTTTAACGTCTTGCAAGCAACCCTCGGTACGTGTGTTTACAATAAAGTTGAAACTTTCGTACGAGACCTCGTACTTAATGTTTCCGTAGATATTTAGAAAGAGCGAGTCCAAAAAAGTAATTATTGTAACCACTCACAGAACAACAGTAACAACGTGAAAATGAAAAAAAAATTACAAAATCGTATATTTTCCACTATTCTTGAACTAAAATGTGTTTTCTTCGACACATTTATTTTTCCTGTTCAGTGGTTACGAGCGCTCTTTCATTATCATGAAAGTTCGCCCACAATTTCTATTTCAAGGGAGGGGAGGGAAGAAAAGCATGCTCCTGTCATTTAGCAACTTTTAACCGCAAAGAGAAACACAATACATGCACACTTCATACACACTGAAGTTTTTTTTTTTTTGGCCTACAATGTAACTTCTGGGTCCACCAATAAATGTGCCAGCCAATAAAGACAATAAAGTCTAATGTTTTTACTACCTACATTTATCATTTGTCAGGGAGGGAGGTGAGGCTAATTATTGTTACATCAGTTCTATCCCAAATAAAACCATTTTGCCACTTCCTCGCGTATACGTGTATAAGTAGACATTTTACAAGGAAATAAGCCAGTTTTTTTGTTTATTTGGTACGCATAAAAGTGTTTTCGATACATTTTCAATAAAATGAAATTGAGAAATAGTTGATTGTCGTTTAAAGCATATACTGCTTTTTGCAACATGATTACCCATCGAATTGCCACGTCGTGTTGGCCGGTGTCATAAAGTTGAGGCTATAATGGATATTAATTTTTAAACATTCTAATCATTGCTACTGATTAAACTTTGGCACAAAAGACAGTCCAAGACAGCATGATTTGTTTAAGTAACTACCTACTGTGTCTTTGTTTAACACCCTAGCAAGTAAGTTTTTTTAAAAATGGATAATAAGTTTCTTATCTCAACTCTTCCCTGTGACTCGTCATAGATCGTTGTTTATCAAAAGGTCTGCCCCATATTTTTTGCATTGGTACAGTAAATACATTGGACTGGTCTTCGACGTGATGGTCGGTTTTTCCCGTAAACCATCATTAAACTCTTTCTTTGTGTATGACTTTGTATTAGCGATTGATTACAACCAGCTGCTGTTAATAGAGCGATTTTCGTATGACCTTGAAACGAAAACGCGCCAACAAAACAGAAACAACAAACGAGCGGAAATAGGGCAATTTGATTGGTTTATCGAACGAATACAAACCCGCTTGGCTTTTGGTTGGTTAAGCGAACGCTCGGGTGAAAAAACTTCACGCCCGAGAACTTTCTAGAAATCAATCGATACTTCAGTTTGACGTCATACTTCAACACGATTGGCTAATCGAACACTGCCTACTCCATATTAGGGTTTTCTTTGGCGAGAAAACGAAGAGGTCATGTTTTGATCCTTTCATCCATTGGCTGATAAAGCAAATAAGGAACACTTACCGAAACCATTTTTCCTTTTTGACCGGCGAACTTCAACACTTAGTCCGACCTATCGCGTTTCGGTTTAAATGAAAATATATTTAACTGAATTACGGGCTCTAGTAAGATATAGTTTTAATTCCAAACAACTGAATATTTCGGTTGCTATGAGTATAACTTTATGTTTTAATGGAGGGAGAAAATATCGTCTTGTTTATTAAATGCGCATTAAATTGCGAGCAATGATGAACTTTCTTTATATTAAACTAAAAAAAAACTAGAGATAATATGATCCACGTTTTGATAGCTGCCCCGGATGAATTTCATACCACCATCCATTAAGTTAATAAAGCATGACAGTATATTGTTCTTGAATACTTTTTTAATAAAATGAAATTGAAACATACTTTCCGAGTTAATTGTAGCTTAAAACATATATTGCTTGCCACCTGGTGTTGGCTGGTTTCATTAAGATGAGACTACAATGAACGTTTTAAACGTTCTGATCGTTTGCAAATGATCAAGATCATATAACCTGAGATCAGGCGTTAGTATTATTATTATTATTTTTGCTTCTTTGCTTCTTTGGGACGAGAGGGAAAAAAATAACGCCTGATACATTCATTTAACAAGCGATCAACCGCCTCCTAATTTACATAATCTAACTTCTGCTTGACCTCTCATGTTATTAGCCAATAAGCGGTTACCAGACGGGAATCAAATTTTTGTGGGAATAATGGGCGCTTTCCATTTAGTCAAAATTTCCGGAATTTCCGGTTCGGCGGTAAATGGAACACGTTTCGTCGGTTCGTCCCCCTGGAAAATTCCCAGAAAAAGTGGAAAATCTAAAAAGGTGGTCCCGTTTTCCCGGTTGGAATTTCCGAACGGAATGTTGTGTTCCATTTACGTTTCTTGTATTTTGAACCAGTTCCAGGTCCACGGTCCGGCACCGCCACGTACTGGGGTTTACGATCAAATGGAACAACTTTTTACCAATGGGAAATTCCACTTTTGCTACAACCGAAATTTCCGGGTTTTTTTCCTAAATGGAAAGCGCCCAATGTCTCTTTCGCCGAAATCAATTGTAGGGAAATTTTTAAGTACGTGCACGCCAGATGGCGCTTCCTAAAAAAAAAATTAAAAGTTCTTTTTTTTGTGTGATGAAGTACTGCTGGCTGGAGCTGCGTTACCGTTATTTAACAGCTACAAATAATAAAGAATGTACAAGCTCGTTTACTTCCTTCTGTGGCGAAAGCAAAAAAGATTAGGCTGGAGCATCATATTTCACAAACTGAAAAGTGTTGTGTAAGCGAAGATCGCTCAGACTGATTCGCAGGTTTCTGAAGGAGGAATTACAGTCAAACCAGGTCAAGATTCCATTCATGAATTGATTATTTTAAAAGTTAAACCGTGAGCAAGGGAGCCAAGCGCGGTCATTGCACGCGTGCTGAACAAGAATGTTGTATAATGACAGACTAGAAACAATTAATAGACAACTCCCAAGGCACAAACTCAGCCAAAACGCTAAAAATCTTCAATGTTTACTCAAGTTTGGGCTTATAGAAGATAATGTCACATTTTTTCAATGACCATGAAATTCAGAGTGCGGGTAGTAAGTTAATCAATTGTGGCCCTGAAAAAATTTGAAGGAAAAAAAACTACGAATTTTTAAGAAAATGCTTTTTTCGTGGAAGGACTCTTAAACGCTGACAAACGTCAACAAATAGCGAAAACTATAATTTCTATATGTTTGCTTTGCTCGAAATCGCGCGCATTTACAAGGCCCTAAAGCGTTTTGCTGACTTGCAAGGACCCATCTGTTATAAGGATGCCCAAAATAAAGAGATGAGTCTCATAGTTTATAAGATATAATCCGTGTAAAGTTTGCTTACCATTTTCGCATAAATTATGACCTAAATTTGGAAACCGCTGAATTTCTCGAATTGGGTCTTTGCGATTTTGGTAAAACTCTGTTCAGCGCAAGGCACTAATGCACACTATGTGTAGCAGAGAGATTTTCACGAAAAAATGTCGGTAACAGCAGATTTTCGACTCAGATCTCAAAGGGGCGTGGTATTATAACCACGTGACATTTACTCCGATCGCCAAAAATTTTATGTTATATTGTAGATTGATCTATATGTTATCCATTCTATGTGTTAGACTTACGATAAAAGTAAAGGTGGGGATACCAGAGAGCTTCAAAGTAGGATGGTACCCCCCCAAAAAACTGGGTCGAGTCACCTTAAATCTCCTGAAACAAAATGGTCGCCGTGTGACCAAGGTCTATTGCCTAATTCCTTTGTATCGCGTATTGTCTGTCTGGCCTGGGGGTTAATTAGTCCTTCTGATGACCTGTACGGGGAGGCTCAGGTATATGAAAGGGTAAGGATTTCACTAGTTGAAATAAATGAAACTGTAGGTAGATTTGTCATTTCGGTCCGTAACAAGGCCCAAAAGAGCTGAAAGATGCATTATGTCTGTGAGAGAGTCGGCGCGTGAAAGCTTTCTGGCCTTCTGATTTGTTCACATTTAAAAGACAATGCATTTACAGCAGTTCGAAGGGATACAAAGTTCTAAACTAGGTATGTGAAAGGGGTACCATTTATCAATAGAAGGCAAACGAAAGGGGTACTGTTGAAGTGACAAGTGCAATAATTGACCACAAATGTAATAAAACGTGTTCACAAATGTAATAGAAACCTAAAATGCTATCAAAACAGTATATTTCTCGAAAGAGTACCGCTTTAAATTAAAGTCGGACACAAATTAGTTCCGCGGCACCCTTTCGAAAAACACAATTCTATTGCATTTAATCGAAAGAGCGCAGCTCTCAAATAACTTTCGCACTGGTTAAAGTCGAAAAACAATAAGCGCTGTGGCGCTCTTTCAAGTAAACAGAATTTACTACACTCTTCTTGCGCCCGCTCGCTTGCTCTCCGGAAGAGAAACACTGTTTTTTTACTTAACCTGACCGTATCAGTAAATCGGGACTAGTGTGCGAGAATTTGCATCATATATTGGGAGTGTCACGTGGACAAACTAAAAGCAAGTGGTAACTCTTGATCTGCCTCCCCCCCGCATGCGTGGGAGAACTGCCTTGCGGTTCTCAGCCAGCAGGTCCCAAAATTGGCTCAATGACCAAAATTGTGTTTCTTCAAGTACAGCACGCGGATACAAACTGCAAAATATGAAATCTGCGGCGTTTCCATACCCGTAGAAGACAGAAGGTGCTTGGTTTGCAAACAAAACCAAAACGAAGATGAACAACACTTCTTGATGTTTTGCAATGGGTACAATGTATTGCGACAGGAGTTCATTAATTTTATTTTAAGTGAGGATGTTGCTTTTGTGAATCTTACTCCCCATGACAGAATAAAATATTGATTGACAGCAGACAACAATACTTGTAAAACAACAGCCAAATTTATTAATCTTGTGTTCAAAACGAGGAAAGAATTATTGAAAATGTAATTTGATAGAAAATATTTGATGATTTTATGGTGCGTACATCATTAGTTATATTAAACGTTATTGTTAATTAAATGTAAAAGACCTTTATTGTAAACAGACCGATACCTCCATATGTAGAGTAACGCACTCCATATGGGCAGTAAGACACCAAAAAGATACTGTTAATGTTACTGTTACTCCAGTGAGTCTCACATAAAGTAAATACCATCATCAGTAGACAAAACGACTTCTTCCAGATCAATGTCTGTTAAATAGTACATGAAAGTCGTATTTTTCTAGTTATAAGAAAGTGGAGAAATCTGACTTGATGAGAGCGCGCTGATAGGCCACTCCCGCTTTAGATTTATCTGCAAGACGCTGTTGAGAGTGAAAGAGTTTATAAAAGACCATAAAAAGCCGAAATTATATTTCTTTTCATAATAAGTTTCGTGCCAGATGAGTATTGTGGAATGTATAGCAAATGTGGGAGCCATGCTGTAAAGGAAGAAAGCTATTTAACAAATGGAGGACTTTTTTTGCATGCAGTTGTAATGTTAAATGAGGGTCTGAATGGGGGGGGTCCACTTGTCGGTTGTCGGTTAAAATTCAGTAATTTTGTCGGTAGTCGGTTAAAATTTTCTATCTTTGTCGCTAGTCGGTTAAACTTGTCAGAAAATCTCAGTTAATAAGTAAAAATGCTTGTTAATTATTAATATCTTTTATGTATTTCACCCACTTCTTAAGACTTTGATCCCTAAGGATAGAGTAAAACTTGCAAGAATGTATCATTTGATTGCGCCTAAACCGTTCATTAACTCTTGTTTTTTAATGCAACATGATCGTTTATTTCATCATTGTTTGCATGCCATTAAAAGAATATAGTACTGATAAAATCACACAAGCTTTTATTGTAAATGCGAACTTGGTTTTCCTGTCGACTACAGGTCACCGAATAAAAAGTAATTAATTAATTAATTAATTGATTATGGACTCTAGCCTTTTGGATACTTAAATTATTTTTAGTGAAAAACAGCAAGGGGTGACAGGCTGCACATCTATCCCTCTTATGTTTTGGTTCTAACAAGCATGTCCTTTGCCATAATTTTCCTTTCTCAAAGAAAGAGAACTTAAGGTGGTTCTTTAAAATTTTGGCAAGGTAGTGGTTGGTTTTTTTTATGAGATTCCAGTTCTTCATTAAAGCTTCTGATGAGACTTTTTTATAGACACTAAGGGCTGGTATTGTGTCACGAAAGGCAATATTTCAGTCTTTTTCTTCCTGGTTGTTTTGTTTCAGGAGCGCTGCCTTCCTTTCTGTGAGTTTTACTTCTAATAGCAATTTTTCTTTCAAACTTGTGTGGCTAGCCTCTGTCCATCAAATGCTTTTGAAATCTGAAATACTTCCTCAGAGGAGTTTGTTCTTAGGATTCTCAAGGCTTCTCGTTTGTCAAACAGGCGCTTTCACAATTGGTGAGTGATAAGAGGTGAAAATGTACATACTGTAAGGTTTCCGTTTCAAATGCTTACGTCAAGGATAGCTTTTCCTCATTTTTTCGCTGAATGTTGTACCTTGGTATACAACCTTTTCTAAAAAGACTGTCTCATTTTCAGATATTTCGGCCGTGAATTTCATCCGGGCATGTAAGTTTACTTGTTCCGCGAAGAAAGCTACGATGTCTGGTTTACTTATGTCCCATAGGGAAAAAATGTCATCTATGTAGCGTTTTCAAACAGTTGGCTTAAAGACGGTTTTGCTTAAACTTTGTGTTTCAATATGTGCCATGAAAATGTTGGAAAGGAAACTGCTGTCTTTGTGCTCATCGCGGTACCGTGGGTTTGCACTGATAGTGTTTTAAATTAAACGGGAAAGAATTTTCTTTGAGGATTAATCTAAGCAAGAAACGTTCGGTTTTTTCACCTTTGACTTTTCAATAAAATTTATAAAGTCGGTAGCATCTTTAAGGTGTGACTTTGTGATTTTGATATTGGCTGTAGCAATGTACCTGTATCAACAACAAAAAAGGAAATCATTTCCCCTAGGCCATCTGATGAGTCTTAAATTTAAAGAGGTTACTTCCTCGAGCCAACGGTTAGAAAAAAAAAAAATGCAAAATGCTCTTTTTTCTGGAAATAAATATTGATAATATCAGCCCATGCCGGTAGTCGGTAATTTTTTACTCATTTTGTCGGTATTCAGTAATATTTTTCGCGCTTTGTCGCTAGTCGGTTAACCCCATTCACACCCTCTTAAATTTAATATCAATTCGGCTTCGAAAATTAGAGCGTAATTTGGAACTTCTGAATTCTTCTTAATTAACGCCACTGATGACTGCGCTGATTTCATAGCTTAACATGTAACACAACCAGCAATAACCTCAACCTTCTAATGCATGAAGATTTTCAGAGGTTCTAAGGAAATGTTTTGCCTGATCTGAGTTTGTCTGCAAGAAAAAATGGTCGAGGGTACACGGTCCCTATTAAAGTACCGAGACAGATTACATATAACAAATGAAACAATACACCCAAAAAATGAAGCTTCCATGAGATCTCTATATTAAATAAATAACAGATGTATGCAGGCTGGCCACATGTCTTCAGTTCGCTTGTTAACACCTATAGTCCTAATTGCGTTCGCAGAACGCCATCTTCAATTAGTAGCGAGAAAAAGTCGAGATTTTTCGCGACGGACTTCCAAATAGCCTGGCCTCTTGAAGAACGTAGCTGTCTTGGGTACGAACGATACAATACACATGAGTCAATTTTCGACCAATGCGAGATGACTGTTGGTCCACGTGACTTATAACACCCAAAGGAAACTTTCAGAGTGTTTCTTGATCTGTTTGCCTTTTAAGCTCGATTGAAGGTGTTTTTGAAGATTTTCCTTCGATGCTAGTGAAGGCTCAAGTTTTAACGCGAACATAGGTAAATTTTGCTCTATTACTTTTGTTTGTTTGTATTTTTTTTTTTTATGGCGCCTTAAATTACTTGGATATATTTCGAATTCCGGCATATGCGATTAAGTGCGTTAATTGGGCAAATTTTTGGTGTACACAGCGAACAAGAAAAGTTCCTTCGACTTTCGACTTTCGTTTAGTTATTTTAACAAATTAAATTTCATGAATTGAAGTGTGGATCTTTCAACTTTGAGTCACATAAAAACCGCATGCAGCGTTCAAGTTAAATAATTATTGCTCGAGGCTTTCCCGGTAGCAATGCACTTTATTTTTTTTAAGTAATGATTTAGGAATCTAAAAAGGAAGCTTATATCCTTCCGATTGATTTCACTTGAGAGCTTCAGCAAAATCAAACATTACGAGCAAAACACTACTCTGCACATGCACGATGCACGCTTTTCTGTCGGATTTTTTTTCGGTCGCTGCATGTCTAAAAATCTTCTTACATTTTATTAGTACAAATGAAATATCCGATTATTGCCAAAAAATCTAAATCCTGCAGCTGAAGAAACTAAAACTTGGGTCAACTAACAACTAATTTCATTTTGTTGTTAACTGATGCGCAATATAAATATGCAACACATATTGTTCTACATCAACCTTTTGACAATAAAATTGTTTTTTAACAATATGTTAATCATTGCCATCATCATCAACTTGTTTTTCTCCCTGGACACTAACTCATAGAAGCCTGTAAAAAGCTATGGTCTGCCCGGAAATAATCCACTTCGCATATCGAACGCACTCTTTAATCTATGATTACCACTAGTTATAATATATAGATTTAGCCAGCGCTAAAAGCGAACCTAGTTATAGACTCTCGTTAATATACTTGTAAATAATTTACTCAAACAAGAAAATATATTTTTTATTTTACTTACTGAGTAGTTTATTTACTCAACACATGTTACAGTTACAAATTTTAAAACTAGAAGAAAGTATATAACAATATTACAGATTGGACCACAATGATTACATAAAAACGGAAAAGAATTAAACACAACAGTTCAAACAATAGCATTAGACCTGTTAATTAACAGATTCTGATTCTGGTAAAGTTGAATTCTTTCTAACTAATTGAAGGAAGAGGGTTTTCGAAATCATACCTCCAACTGATTCTAGCCTTAAACTCATCCAAAGATAAATCTTTAGGTGCTAACTTATTTATGTACAAGTAATATTTAGCAAGCAGAAGAGTAATCGAGCTTTTTGACAATTTCCAATCATTTCTTTCTTTTAAAAAGCTGAAAGTACTAGTTTCTTTTGACGAAATTTCTTAAACCCCGAACTTTGAGTGACAAGATGAAGTGTTAACCTTGCACAGTTACCGTAAGATCAGGGCATGGGGAAAAAACGCTAAAAGATCATAAAATCTGTTAATTAACTGGCCGATAATCAGGAGAATAGCTACCATCAAGAGGATATAAGTACTACTCGGTGCCGGATACAGACCTTGAGATAGCGGGGGGTAGTCATCCAGAGGAGGGGGAGGCAGTCTCCAAAAAAAATTTTTTGGCTATTCGGGCCTCAGTTTGGTCTAAAAATAAGACGAGGGGAGGCAGGTGCCCCTGGGCCCCTCCCCTGGATTCGCCACTGCAACGTCAGACAAACAAATTTCAATGATTTTTCCAGGTACAAGTTACAGTTTTTAAGGACTAAGATTTTTAAATAATAAATCGGCATTCTGTAACCCCCTTTGATCACTCTATTGGCTAAAACCCTAGTCTTTACAATTAATTTTTACCTCTATACTTTTTTTCGCAACAAGACTGACTGGGTATGACTTGCAATTGCTTCTGAGGTGCAGAAATCGTTCATGCACAAAAATGTTTTTACGTTACCCGTGAGTTTTACAGGTTCTTATACACCGAGGATGAGCCAAATTCTCGTCGGCAAAATAATCCGAGTAATTTTACAGAAAAAGGAACGTGTCTACAAGGTTGTGAATTTCAAGGACTTTTCAAGACCTAATAAAGACATCAAGTATTTTTTAAGGACCTAAACCGAATTCAAGGACTCAGACTTTTCAAGACGACTAGTAAAATTCAAGACCTTTTCAAGATTGAACGGACCTTGTATAACAGAAACAGAAAGCAACGCTAAACGGCGACGGCAACGAAAACGACAAAAAAATAGTAAATAGGTCTAATAGAGAGGAGAAGTGTGACATCACGTTGCCATGGTAGCAAAAATTCTGGATGACAACAATGAAGGGCTTAAGCAAGGACCACGGCGAAAACAACGAGAACAGCAAAAAAGCGATAGGTTTAGCAAAATAAAAGCTTTGCACGTGCATCACGCTTTTTTCTAGCCACTTTTCTTAGCCGTCGTTACGCGACTGCGACATGGAACTTCCTAATTTCACGCGCCCGCGCTATGGAGTTGGTCAACACAGCACAAAATTTTTTTTTTTTTTTCTAAACACAGATACGGTCCTTTGGGATTCAACCCCAGAGAATTTTGTCAACATTTAACATAGTAAATGAAACTGAATAAGTTCGATGAAATTTGAAACAGCGCGAATTTACTTAGTTAAGTGACGTCGGGTTTGTTGTCTGATCCAAAAATTTTGCTACTATGGCAACGTGACGTAAGACTTCTCCTCTCTATTAGCAAAAAAACCAACAACCTTGCACACCTTTTTTGTACATTTCTTTGTTGTTGTTTTGCACGACTACAATGTGAAACTTCCTAGCTCATTTTATGTTGGAAAATGTGGTATGTACTCACCGATGTTTTGTCGTGTTCCTGTTCATTTTTTTTTTCTACACTGTCGCTCATTTTCACCTTGTTGGCCGCCTTTTCTCATTTTCTCACCGCCATTTCCATGTTTTTCCTCCAACGAAATTTGTCTCTTGCTTCTTGTCTAACGCTTTAGCTCTGTTGTCGATGTCATTAAAGAAGTTAAAATTTAGTTGGACTTTTACTTTGTTGTTGGTTTTTCTCTCTTCTAAGTCCGGATGGACTTTCTCTCTCTAAAAAGTCGCGGTGGACTTTAGGTTTCCCGCCGAAAAACCCCGTGTTGCATTTGCCATACCTGTTGATTGAGTTATTCTACATTGGTATGCCTGTGGTGCGGAAGGGCGTGCGTACGCCCACGTGATTATTTATGCACAGTGAACCAAAATTCTTACCCATGGTGTACCGCTGCGCGCGCGTGAGCTTCGCCAAAAATGTTTATGGTGAACCAAGACGTCAAAAACGCCAAAATAGACCTTTGTCACGCGGCAGCCATTTTGTCTCAGGAGAGTAGCTTTTTTTATGCACAGCTAGCCTTGTAGAACCTTACCCTTCTATTGGGGCATGAAGATTTTCGGAGGTTTCAAGCTAGAAATTTTTTTGCCTGATCTGAATTTTTCTGCAAGAAAAATACTAAAACGTTATAGCGACTATCCGCTGAGCAAAAGTTACAGAATCACAGCTTTCAACCTTAAACATTGGTTCAATGAACATAATTTAATATGTATTGCGAGCCTAAAGTCACGGCATTGCTCAAGCATTTTGCAACGGCAAAAGGTATTTAAGTCTTCAGCCTCGCCGAAGCCTATTTCCTTTTCGTAAACGATCATTGCCATTTATAACACGCGATACCACCATGTTGGTAACCAAGCCTTTACTTATGATGTAATATGTTCCCTGGATTAACTTAGAACATGAACGCTCTTAATAGGACAAGTCTCGCTTGCTTGGAGATTAGATAAGAGATAAGGAGGCGATTAATTCCACACGAAGCAGGATTTCTTCGCTAAAAGGTTTCTCTTCCCACTTTGTCGAGGGTCGAGTGTTCTTCAGAAAATTTTCAGAATATACGCTTGTACAAATACAAATCATTGCTAGAAAGTAAAAATGTAATGAACATGGCGCGTCATTTCAATCATCGCCAAAAATAAACCGCATGCTCATCGCAAGACTCATTTTCATACAATGAAAGTTTACAACGCCCGACCAGTTTATAGCTTCTCCATCGAAGTTTTCCGTGAAGCAGTCACTTGTTCCAAAGTAATCAACGCTTTCAAGCAATAGAATTCGTGGACCGACCCGTTCCCGGAAAGTTCGACATCCGTGCATCAATTTTTCCTAAACTTTCTTCACAAAATAGAGCATGGCGTTGTGACAGCTGGTAACAATTTCCATCCTCAGTTTCCACGATATCCACTAGTAACGCCTGGGACCATGATTCCCCTTTTGGCGCGCACACAAGCGAGACTAACTACCTACTTTTCTGATCTATGTTTTAAAAGCTTAGCTAGTAATTTTTTTTTTCCGGGGAAAAATTTCCTTATCTCAACTCAAAAGACTCCTCGTTTGTTACAGTTACTAAAACAAAAGGGCATTATCAATCATTTGCCCCAGTCCGTCTTGTGACGAGACACTTAATGAAACTGGTATTCCAACCATTATTTCATATTGCGAGGACATATGTGAAAAGGTTTTTAACGCTGCCCTCTGCAACAAGGACAACAAACTTAACAAGTTATTAACTGAAGCCAATAAGGCTCCATATTTACTAAGAAATCAGCAATACTTTGCACTTCCAAAGTGGAAAACTTAAGCCTTCTATTTTGTCATCGTGCCTAATTAAAGTACAATTAAACTGTGTCACGATTGCGCGCATGTGTGAGCTGTGACGGCAGCTGATTGTCTTGGAACCAATCGGAAGCGAGTAAGCTGCACGCGAGGAAATTTACATAATTTAAGATTCATTGTTCACGAAGTGGGAGTCTTCCGGACGTTTATGTTCGATTTTATATATATCCCCATAATTCATATTTATTCTCCGGTATTCCTCAGATAAATGTTGCAGATGATAAGAATAAGATTAACAACCCTGTCCTGCTTTGACACAGTCATTTACCTACGTGCATTTTTACGTACCCACGCTAGAAAACCAGTCTCTGATCCGCAAACAAAAATAATTTGTAAACAAACCCATTAGTAGTCCACGGCTGTATAGAGGAAACCCTTTTTAACTCCTCTTTACATATTTATCGTTTGAAAAATATCCGTCAAAAGATAGTTGACTGGAGAACCTTGATAGACAGAAATGAAAGCCAGATGACTACATTAAAGGCCACATTTGATCCGTTTGTGCGAACACTGACAACAACGAACTTGGCTTCGTAGGGTTCTCCTCAATGACTTCGAATTTTCTCGACAATACTTGCACAAAAGTACAAAATATGGCGTTTAAAACTTCCTAAATGGACCAAATAGCTCTTGAATACTGATATTATGGCTCTCTCGGGCGTCTCAGGGTCGATGGAAGAGGATTTCTTCACCAAACGCCAATCTTGAAAAACCGTCCGCCGGAGACAAATCAAGTTGCCGCACATGCGCAGAAGCGTGTCACAGTCCCTTTGAATGTTTCGGTTTGAATGCTTTTATATATTATATGCATGAATTTTTAATATTTTTAATATTGATGTATGGTAAATTATTTTATTTTTAGCTTAGTTTTATTTGTAAATACGCAATTTAGCCTCTGGCTGCCCATGTATTTATTTTTGAATAATCTATCTATCTATCCATTTATCTATCTATCTATCTATCTATCTAAAAAAAATGGGCGTTTGTTTCGCTTGAGTCCAGCAAACATGTAGGATTGGTCTCAGACCTAATAGTCCGCATTTCCTCTAAACGATCGTTTAACTCTTTTCTGTTTGACTTTGTGTTTACGATTCACCACAAACAAGCTGCCATTTCTACTTTGATATCGTGCCAATAGTTTCGAATAACTTACTTCCATTTGACTGACGAACTTTATCCTGATACAATTAAAGAATAATACAAGAATATCTTCAGCCTAAAATCGGCAGAAAAAAAAATAAGGATATTCAGGCTATGTCTTTTAAACTGAAGAAACTGACTGGCTATATAATTCGACTTACATCTTATTAGCTGCTTTAATTATTAAGGAACAGATCATTTATTATAAGTAACTAGGGTGCTGTATCTTTGGGCCGTCTCACACTCTTTAAGTCACCCGTGAACATGCAATTTATCAAAAAAAATGTGTTCATGGGTCCAGCAAATACTGTTGGATTGGTTTGCGACGTAAAAGTTCCGTTTTCCTCTCAAGTCACCTCTCAGCTCGTTCTATCTGACTGTATGTTTGCGATTCATGATTGAAAACCAACTGCCTTTTGCTTATTTAATATTGCATCAGTAGTTTCATATAACTTCCTTCCTTTTTAACTGACGAACTTCAACATTTATACGACCTATTGCGTTTTGCTTGAAAGAAAATTAATACTAATTACTGTGCGATGATGACGTTACATTTAAAGTTTTAATTCCGGGTTCAGACATGCAAAGTTTCAATTTCAAGCAAGGTGAGAGTTTGGATATTGTGAGCACGACTTAGGGACGTTTTTTACTAACTCAACAGTACTCCGTTAAAAACCAATTGCCATCGGAGGAGGACGTCTGGAGAATATTCAGTAAGTCTCGCAAAGAGTAATTTCCAGCGTCAGTCTCGTGCAAAAAAGAAAACATTTGCATAGTTCCTCAAAAGTACAGCTGCTGAAACTTAACACTGTATATAACGCTCCATTCAATGGTGGAAGCAGAAGGTCAGTCTCATTCAAAAACGGATGAAACCTAGAAAGCAATGAAATTCAGATCTTTGCATATTAAAGAAACTGAACGCTGATTAGGGTTATGTAAAAAAAAAAAAAAAAGATGGCAAGTGCTGAAGGCTTGAATTTGACATTTGCTTTCTTCAACGCCTTCTTGTCTTTCACCGCCATCGTATTAAACATCATAACCATGCAAGCGCTCAGAAAAACGTCGTCGTTGCCTAAGACTTTAAAAACATTGCTACTAAGCTTGGCTGTGTCTGATCTGGGTGTAGGCTTACTTGTCCAACCACTGTATGTTGCACTTCTTGTGACGGAAAAAAACAGTACTGCTTATTCTACAGTAAAGTTAGCGAGTTCAATCCCGGCAAAAATATTGGTCTTTGCTTCGAATTTTGGTGTTTTTGCTTTAGCTGTGGACAGATTCTTGGCCATTTACCTTCATCTGAGATATCAGGAGCTTGTGACTCACAAACGTGTTGTTGCTGTTGTGATCTCAGTCTGGGTGTTTAGTGCATCAATTTCCTATCCAAGTCATCATATTATGCGAGCGGTCATTGTAGTTGTTTGTGTCATAACTACAGGATTGCTTTATTGCAAGATATACGCTTCCGTGAGACACCACACAAATCAGATTCACCGTGACGCTCTGCAAGTACAACAGGCGACACAGAATGAAGATATGGCAAATGCCGCAAGGCTGAAAAAATCTTCACTGGCTACATTCTACGTTTATTTCGTGTACTTAGTTTGCTATTTGCCATTTTCTTGTTTTCATTTTGCCAAGACCGTCAACGATGAAACTCCCTTGATGTCTCATTTAAGGTATTTCATATTGACTCTTGTGTATCTCAATTCATCCCTCAATCCCTTAATCTACTGCTGGAGGATGAGACACATTCGACATACTGTTATGGACATACTTCGAAATATTTTCGCGATTTTTCCCCACTAAAGAAAGGATCTAACTGAGAATAACTTAATCGGCCTTTTTCTCTCTGAGTGGTGAAAATATTAGCTTTCCAGCAATACAATTGGAAAAATGACACTAAATATAAACAGGAACTGAAACCTCTTGTACTCTCTGTTTGAAGGCCAAGGGTTAAATATATGATCGAGTGAGTATAAGTTCATGAGATTTCAGTTTGCTTTGCAATAATTAACAAATAACGGAAACTCTGAAATTATTGTTTATCAAAGTCAGAAAGAGGGCAAAGAGAAAAAACTAGTTAGTTTAGGGCGAATGACGAGTGACTTGATAAACAGAGGGCCGAGTTTCCAAATATGCATTGTGCAAAACGTTCTGTGTACAGTAAAGTGAGTTTACTAGATTTTGTTAAGGCCATATTAGTGCATGCAATGAAGAAAACTAACTAAAGAGGAGAGAGATCAAAACTATGTCAATAAATCTTGCATACTGAATGTACCAAGAGTGGTGAAAAGATTTACCGGTATAACAACAACAACAACAACAACAACACATAATAATAATAATAATTATTATTATTAATAAAAATAATAAGAATAATACTAATAAGAATAATAATGATAAGAAGAACAACACGAGCCTATTTGTTGAGAAAGACGAAAACTAGTAGTTTATACTGTTGAGAATATATATTACAATATTTGTAACTGATTCATATCAATAAAGTTCACGTGAAAAAGTTAATATGTTTTGAAGAATGGTAAAAATATACCATTTAATGAGGAAAGAGCTCTCCTGACAGCGCAACCGATTGGAACAAGTGATCGATAGCTAAATGACATCATAATACTAAAATGCCATGATATGGAACCACAAAACAGTCATAATATGGCTCCAATATCAAGCAAAGAACTTCTTGCTCTGAGATTACTTAGAACCATAATGTTTGACGAAACAGTTAAGTATAAGGCCCAGGGTTGAACCTAAGTACACAGTTTCCTCATGTCCCAGTTCAACGTCTTGAAAGCAACTCTCGGTACGTGCGTTTACAATAAAGTTGAAACTTTTGTACGAGACCGTACTTAATGTTTCCATAGATATTTAGAAAGAGCGAGTCCAAAAAAGTAATTATTGTAACCAATGATATATAATAGAACAACGGTAACAACGTGAAAATGAAAAAAAAAAGACAAAATCGTATATTTTCCACTATTCTTAAACTAAAATGTGTTTTCTCCGACACGTTAATTTTCCTTTTCGGTGGTTACGAGCGCTCTTTCATAATCATGAAAGTTCGCCCACAATTTCTGTTTCAAGGGAGGGTAGGGAAGAAAAGTATGCTCTTGTCATTTAGCAAATTTTAACCGCAAAGAAAAGCACGATACAACACGCGCACTTCATACACACTGAAGTTTCTTTTTTTTTTTGTCTCACAATGTAACTTCTGGGTCCACCACTAAATGTGCCAGCCAATACTGAAAGACAATAAAGTCGAACGTTTTTACTACTTACATTTATCATTTGTCAGGGAGGGGGGTGGGGCTAATTATTGTCACATCAGTTTTATCCAAAAAACCATTTTACCACTTCCTTCCGTATACGTGTATAAGAAGACATTTTACAAGGAAATAAGCGAGTTTTTTTGTTTATTTGGTACGCATTAAATTGCGCAAAATGATATTGTTTTCAATACATTTTCAATAAAATGAAATTGAGAAATAGTTGATTGTCATTCAAGGCATATATTGCTTTTTGCAACATGATTACTCATCGAATTGCCACGTCGTGTTGGCCGATGTCATAAAGTTGAGGCTTTAATTAATGGATATTTTAAACATTCTGATCATTTGCTACTGATTAAACTTTGACACACAAGACAGTCCAAGACAGCATGATTTGTTTAAGTAACTACCTACTGTGTCTTTGTTTAACACCTTAGCTAGCAAGTTTTTTTAATGGATAATAAGTTTCTTATCTTAACTCCACCCTGTGACTCGTCATAGATCGTTGTTTATCAAAAGGTCTGCCCCATATTTTTTGCTTGTGTCCAGTAAATACATTGGATTGGTCTCCTACTTGATAGTCGGTTTTTTCCTATAAGCCATCAATAAACTCTTTCTTTGTGTATGACTTTATATTAGCGATTGATTGCAACCAGCTGCTGCTGGTTTTCTTTGGCGGGAAAACGAAGAGGTCATGTTTTGATCCTTTCATCCACTGGCTGATAAAACAAATAACGAACACTTACCGAAACCATTTTTCCTTTTTGACCGACGAACTTCAACACTTAGTCCAACCTATCGCGTTTCGGTTTAAATGAAAATATATTCAAATCACTCTGTGAGAGGACGTCATTTTAAATTCTGAATTACGGGCTCTAGCAGGAGGCCTGGGCTCTAGTAAGATATAGTTTTAATTCCAAACAAGTGAATATTTCGGATGTTATGAGTACAACTTTATGTTTTAATGGAGGGAGAAAATATCGTCTTGTTATCAAATGTGCATTAAATTGCGAGCAACGATGAACTTTCTTTATATTAAACTAAAAAAACTAGAGATAATATGATTCACGTTTTGATAGCTGCCTCGGATGAATTTAATACCACCATCCATTAACTTAATAAAGCATGGTATATTGTTCTTGAATACTTTTTTAATAAAACGAAATTGAAACACACTTTCCGAGTTGATTGTAGCTTAAAACATATATTGCTTTTTTGGAACATGATTACTCATTGAATTGCCACCTGGTGTTGGCTGGTTTCATTAAGATGAGACTACAATGGATGTTTTAAACGTTCTGATCGTTTGCAATTGATCAAGTCTGACACATGTGACCGAATGATTTGTCAAGTAACTACCCACTGTGTCTTTGTTTTAAAACCCTAGCTAGTAAGGTTTTTTTACAGGTAATAAGTTTTTTTTCTGCACCCCCAGTCCTAAGACTCGTCGTAAGTCGTATTTAATTAAAATTTGTTGGTTTTTTATAGTTTTTACTTGAGTTCAGCAAACAAGTTGGATTGGTGTTCGACCTAACAGTCTGCTTTCCCATAAACTATCACTAAACTCTTTCTGTTTAACTGTTTATTTGCGATCCTTTGCAAACCAACTGCCTTTTTTTAAAATAACGCCTGATACATTCATTTAACAAGCCATCAACCGCCCCCTAATTTACATAATCTAACGTCCGCTTGACCTGTCATGTTATTAGCCAATCAGCGGTTACCAGACGAGAATCAAATTTTGGTGGGAATAATGTCTCTTTCGCGGAAATCAATTTTAGGGAAGAGAAAATTTTTAAGTACGTGCAGATGGCGCTTCCTAAAAAAAAAATTAAACTTTTTTTTTACCTTTATTTAACAGCTACAACTAATAAAGAATTTACAAGCTCGTTGACTTCGTTCTGTGGCGAAAGCAGTGAAAAAAAAAATTAGGCTGGAGCATCATATTTCACAAACTGAAAAGTGCTTTGAAAGCGAAGATCGCTCAGACTAATTCGCAGGTTTCTGAAGGAGGAAACTGCAGTCAAACCAGGTCGAGATTTCATTCATGAATTGATTATTTAAAAAGTGAACCTGTTTGTCGCTTCTGTAACTTGTAGCCGGTATCAAATTGCATTCAAATGATCGGCGAATTTTTGACAGCAATTTTTAGTATACGATGAAATGGAAAATATTTCAATGTATGAAATTTCTATTTAGACATTCTTCAAATTCAAGAAAACTGAGTTTGCAGAAATTTCATAACGAACTCGCGTGTGTATTAACTGCTCATTACGCAAGCAAAATGCAGACTGAAATCAACAACAACAAGACGCTACGGAGCTAGCGTACACTTCGGCGTCGTGGTTGTGGAACTAATTAATTGCAAATGCGGAGGAATAGTAAGAAATCAAATATGGTAAGAGTTAAGGTGTGAAATTATGGGATTTGTCAGGATATTCTGAAAAGAGCAACATCCAAGAGGCCTACTTGCCAAAAACTAGCATTTCAGGACAAATTGTCTCCGCGATATTAGCCCAGTTATGCTCTGACGACTCCATACAAATCCTTCTAAAAACAATTCTCTATTTTTCTTAGTCACACCAGGCATGGGTAAGGAGTCAATTACGTTGAGCATGGAATTGGCTAAAACTCAAAGTCACGAGTTCGAATGTTTTGAGGATAATTATTCACTGTCTATCAGCACGCAGGGATGTCGGATTAACACAAGAAGTTTAACACCAAAGGAACATAGCCTTTACAGAGCCTTAAAACACTGCATCCGCCAACACAAACTTGACTTGAACTTTGAGTAAAACTAAACAGCCTCTACCAATAATAACAAACTCTCACTTGAACTTCAGATATCTTACGGCTTCCGCGAACTTGTAAACACAGAACCTGAATAATAGACCTTCGTCACACTTGACTAAACACAGCAGTCCAGCTCGTGGGAAAAAACTTAGTTCGTCAAAAGAACTCGCCTGGAACTTGTATACCGTTTGACATAAGGTTCTAGAAAATACTAAAGAGGCGAATAGTGGTAGCTTTTCGACATATTTTATGATTTCAGTAACTGATGCAAATCTGCTGACTCATGCTGAAATTTAAACTTGCCCTAATTAATTATTCATGGCAAGTCCAAAAACGTAGAGAACGTTCGAGAAAGTCACGCAACGCACGAAAGCAATTTTACTACGTAACACAAAGACAAAATGTCTTTGTGCAGCATTTTGTAACTTTAAGTTCAGCATAAAACAGTTCGAAAGGAGGGCTCACGCGTGAAATGTTTTTCAACACTCGAAGAGAAATTTCGTGTCTCTGCGCGGCCACGAAATATCCTCTATTTATTCCTCGAGTAATTAAAGACTAAACTCGAAGTGATCTCAAGATATCACGAAGTAGTCCGATCTCATTTCGTGAAATAGTTGAAACAAGCCGAAAAGTCCCGAACTTCCACGCCCAATCTTGTCCCGAAACTAGTGCATTATTTCATAACTATTTTTCATATCTCAAACTACCTTAGGTCGCAGTAGCGCAATCGGCTAATAACTCAACTTAGAGTCTCCTCTGATCTGACGGGTCACACAGGTGAGTCGGTTCAAACCCCGGGAAGGCCAAAATAGTAATTCTTTCTTCCTCGAAAAAGTTAAAGAATAAATCAAAGAAATCGAAGTGAACTCGAGATATCTCGAACTAATTCGGCTCTCACTTCGTCAAATGGTCGAATAGAGCCGAAAACCTACAGACTTTGCTTGCCCAATCTTGTCAAAAAATTGCAACTTTGATACATTCCTGAGCGTTGCGAATCCTTTACTTCGCGCTCCGCCGAAGTAACTAACGGATGGCGGCGTTTTGGCCAATCGGAACAGAGCAAATCATCCGTATTGTTTCCTATCCAATCAGGAAAAAGTCTAGATTCTGGCTTTTTTGCATGTGATCTGTGAAAGAAATGTACCATGAATAGATTACAGAGATAAAGTGAGAAGGCATGTTCGCAGGCTAGACACATATGACCGAATGATTTGCCGAGTAACTACCCACTGTGTCTTTGTTTTAAAACCCTAGCAAGTAACTAAAGGTTTTTTTATAGGTAATAAGTTTTTTTTCTGAAGCCCCAGTCCTAAGACTCGTCGTAAGTCGTATTTAATTAAAATTTGTTCTTTTTTTATAGTTTTTACTTGAGTTCAGCAAGCAAGTTAGATTGATGTCCGGCCTAATAGTCTGCTTTTCCTATAAACTATTACTAAACTTTTTCTGTTTGACTGTTTATTTGCGACCGTTTGCAAACCAACTGCCTTTTCTAATTTAATATTGCGTCAGTAGTTTAAATAACTTTCTTCGATCTCACTGACGAACTCTCAACACCTACAAAGCTCCACCTTTTGCGTTTCTGTTAAAAGAAAGATATATTCAAATTGCAATGAGGAGAACCCCGAGCATTGCACAGACAGTTTTAATTTCAGATAAGTTGAAATTTTAGATGTTCTGAGTGCGTTTCAGGGACTCTCTTATACCATGAGACGTTTAAGTCGTTGCTTCTAAGCCTGTGTATTTCTGATCTAGGTGTAGGTTTTCTCATTCAGCCACTTTATGTTGCATATCTTACGATGGAAATAACTAAAAACAGTAAAAAGATTGATAACGTTAACATTATTGCTTATTGGGCTGGTGTTAAAGCATATGCCATCCATCACAGTTTATTTGTTTTTGCCTCATTTTTCGGTGTTTTCGCGATAACTGTTGACAGATTCTTGGCCATTCATCTTCACAATCTCAGATAACAGAAACTTGTGACTCACAAACGGGTTGTTGCTAGTGATCTCATTCTGGGTGTTCAGTGTAATTGCTTGCTTCTGGTATGAATCGATAAGTGTTTTGTCCGTGATGTCAGTTGTTTGTATCATAACTACAGGATTGCCTCATTGCAAAATATACGCAACCGTAAGCCACACAAACCAGAGTACCTGAACAAGTAGCTCAGAATGGAGACATGGCAAATGCCGCAAGGCTGAGAAAAACTGCCTTTGCTACATTTTACATGTATATCTTGTTTTTCATTTTTCATATTTATAGTTTGTTCAAAAATATATAAACTCGTGTAATGCTAAGCTGCGAAGGCAACGCCGGAGAACGGTGAAAAACAACAATAGGTCTAATTAGCAAAAAAGCAACTTTGCACGTTGTTTTGTACGACTACAACGTGAAACTTCCACAAACTTCTTAGTTACACGCTTTATGGAGGAAATGTCGTACGTGTTCTCGCTCACTTTTTTTTTCATTGCCGCTCATTTTCTCCTTGGATTGGTGGCCGCTAACATTTCTTATTTTCTCACCGCAGCTACAAAATTGTCATGTTGTTCTGTTAACAAAAAAAATGTCTCCTCTGTTGTTTATCTCTCGCTCTAGATCTCTGTCGCCCTTTTTCTCGTTGAGCTTCGGTGGCATGCCGCCTACTTTCTCTTTTTCTCCGTCTTTCTTTTGCTCTATTTTCCAATTTTTTCGGAATGACAATTCAATTAATCTAAGCTTTTAAGCTCAGATTGATTGTCATGTCCAAAAATTTCAGACAACACGGATACAGAAACAATTTTTGCTTTCCGTTTTCGTCTTTATTGACTCTTTAGTTGTCTCTGCTTTACAAGACTCGGGTGGCTACGCGATTTCCTGCGCAAATAACCTCGAGTTGTATTTGGGTTGCCATACCTGTTGATTGAATTATTTTACATTGGTATGCCTGTGGTGCGGACAGACGGTCGGTTGCTCGGTCGGGTGGTGTACGGTCACGTGATAACCAAATTTTCTAGGATGGGTTGATTTACTTAGCTATGGGGCTCCGCAAGCGCACGCTTCGCGCGCGCGTAGAGCACCGCTACGAACAGAGTTAATTTACACGTTCAAGGATGGTTTAAACTTTGGAGAAGGTATCCTAAATATACAGGTAGCTAGAACTGCATTAATACAGGTTTCACTGTATTTCTCTGATGCACAGATAACCAAATTTTCTTACCCACGGTGCACCGCTGCGCGCGAGAGAGCTTTGCCAAAAATGTTTGTGGTGAACCAAGACGTTCAAAACGCCAAAATGAATTTATGCCACGCGGCAGCCATTTTGTCTCAGGAGATTTAAAAGGCTTTGTTTATGCACAGCAAGCCTCGTAGAGAGAACGAGGCTTTTTAACAAATCTTTTTAAATCTCCTGAAACAAAATGACCGCCGTGGGACAAAGGTCCATTGTCTAATTCCTTTGTATCGCGTATCGTCTGTCTGGCCTGGGGGTTAATTAGTCCCTCTAATGACCAATGCGGGGAGGCTCAGCCCGAAAAGGGTACCTTTTTCACGCCTCAGGTATATGAAAGGGTAGGGATTTCATTAGTTGAAGTAAATGAAACTGAAGTGACAAATGCAATAATTGACCACAAATGTGGTAAAAATTGGCCACAAATGTAATAGAAACCTAAAATGCTATCAAAACCGTATATTTCTCGAAAGAGTACCGCTTTAAATTAAAGTCGGACACAAATAAGTTCGGCGGCACCCTTTCGAAAAACACAATTCTATTGCCGTGATTTAATCGAAAGAGCGCAGCCCTCAAATAACTTTCGCAACTTAAAGTCGAATAACAATAAGCGCCGTGGCGCTCTTTCAAGTAAACAGAATTTACTACACTCTTCTTGCGCCCGCTCGCTCGCTCTCCGGACGAGAAACATATTTTTTACATGGCCTGACCGTATCAGCAAATCGGGACTAGTGTGCGAGAATTTGCATCATATATTGGGAGTGTCACGTGGACAAACTAAAAGCAAGGGGTAACTCCTGATCTACCTTCCCCGCGTGTGCGTGGGAGAACTGCCTTGCGGTTCTCAGCTAGCAGCTGCCAAAATTGGCCCAATGACCAAAATTGTGTTTTCTCAAGTTCAACGCGCGGATACAAACTGAAAAGTATGAAATCTGCGGCGTTTCCATACCTGTAGAAGACAGAAGGTGCTTGGTTTGCAAACAAAACCAAGTCGAAGATGAACAACACTTCTTGATGTTTTGCAATGGGTACAATGTATTGCGACACGAGTTAATTAATGTTATTTTAAGTAAGGATGTTGCTTTTGTGAATCTTACTGCCCATTACAGAATAAAATATTGATTAACAGCAGACAATAATAATACTGGCAAAATAATAGCCAAATTTATTAATCTTATGTTAAAAAAGAGGAAAGAATTATTGAAAATGTAACTTGATAGAAAATCTTTGATGATTTTATGGTGCGTACATCATTAGTTAGACGTTATTGTTACGTAAATGTAAAAGACCTTTGTTGTAAACAGACCGATTCCTTCAGATGGAGAGTAACGCACTCCATATGGAGAGTAGGACACAAAAAAGATACCGTTAATGTTACTGTTACTCCAGCGAGTCTCACATAAAAACTGTTAAATAGTACATGAAAGTCATATTTTTCTAGTTACAAGAAAGTAGAGAAATCTCACTTGATGAGAGCGCTCTGATAGGCCACTCCCGCTTTGGAATTATCTGCAAGACGCTGTTGACAGTGAAAGAGTTTATAAAAGACGAGAAAAAGCGGTAATTATATTTGTTTTCATAATAAGTTTCGTGCCAGATGAATATTGTTGAATGTATAGCAAATGTGGGAGCCATGATGTAAAGGAAGAAAGCTATTTACCAAATGAAAGACTTTTTTTGCGTGCAGTTGTAATGTTTAATTTAATATCAATTGGGCTTCGAAAATTATAAACTAACTTGGAACTTCTGAATCCTTTTTAAACGCCACTGATAACCGCGCTGATTTCATAGCTTAACATGTAACACAACCAGCAATAACCTTAACCTTCTAATGCATGAACATTTTCAGAGATTCTAAGGAAATGTTTTGCCCGATCTGAATTTGTCTGCAAGAAAAAATGGTCGAGGGTACACGGTCTCTATTAAAGTACGGAGACAGATTACATACAACAAAAGAAACAATACACCCAAAAAATCAAGCTTCCATGAGAACTCTATAAAAACAGATGTATGCAGGCTGGAGACATGTCTTCAGTTCGCTTGTTAACACCCATAGTCCTAATTATAATATGTAGATTTAGCCAGCGCTAAAAGCGAAACTAGTTATAGACTCTCGTTAATTCCTCTAGTAGTTTATTTACACAACATATGTAACAGTTACAAATTTTAAAACTAGAAGAAAGTATATAACGATATTACAGATTGGACCATAATGATTACATCAAAACGGAAACGAATTAAACACAACAGTTCACACAATAGCATTAGACCTGTTAATGAACAGATTCTGATTCTGGTAAAGTTGAATTCTTTCTAACTAATTGAAGGAAGAGGTTTTTCGAAATCATAACTCCAGTTGATTCTAGCCTTAAATTCATCCAAAGATAAATCTTTACGTGCTAACTTATTTATGTACAAGTAATATTTAGCAAGCAGAAGAGTAAAATCGAGCTTTTTGACAATTTCCAATCATTTCTTTCTTTTAAAAAGCTAAAAGTACTAGTTTCTTTTGACGAAATTTCTTAAACCCCGAACTTTGAGTGACAAGATGAAGTGTTTACCTTGCACAGTTACTGTAAGATCAGGGCATGGGGAAAAAACAGTAAAAGAGAATCTGTAAATTAACTGGCCGATAATCAGGAGAATGGCTACCACCGAGAGGATATAAGTACAACTAAGTGCCGGATACAGACCTTGAGATAAGGGGGGGGGGTGGTCATCCAGAGTGGGGGGGGGGCAGTCTCAAAAATTTTTTTGGCCCTTCGGGCCTCAGTTTGGTCTAAAAATAAGAGCGGGGGAGGCAGGTCCCCCTGGGCCCCTCCCCTGGAATGCCTGGATCCGCCACTGCAACGTCAGACACCCAAATTTCAATGATTTTTCCAGGTACAAATTAAGGACTAAGATTTTTAAATACTAAATCGGCATTATGTAACCCTCTTTGATCACTCTGTTGGCTAAAACCCTAGCCTTTACAATTAACTTTTACCTCAATACTACTTTCCGCAACGAGACTGACTGGGTATGAATTGCAATTGCTTCTGAGGTGCACAAATCGTTCATGCGCAAAAATGTTTTTACGTTACCCGTGAGTCTTACAGGTTCTTATACACCGAGGATGAGCGAAATTCTCCTCAGCAAAATAATCCGAGTAATTTTACAGAAAAAGGAAGGTGTCTACAAGGTTGTGAATTTCAAGGACTTTTCAAGACCTAATAAAAACATCAAGTATTTTTTAAGGACCTAAACTGAATTCAAGGACTCAGACTTTTCAAGACGACTAGTAAAATTCAAGACCTTTTCAAGATTGAACGGACCATGTATAACAGAAACAGAAAGCAACGCTAAACGTTGACGGCAACGAAAACGACAAAAAATAATAAATAGGTCTAATATAGAGGAGAAGTGTGACGTCACGTTGCCATGGTAGCAAAAATTCTGGATGACAATAATCAAGACTTTAAAAAGGAGCTGTGTCAAGAGATTCAGCCAAATTAGGAAATTACAAAATGCCCATTAAATTAAGAGAAACATACGAATAACCGCTTAAAACTTTAAAGGAACGTTAAAATAACGTAACAGAAACAACAGATGCCAGGATAGGCAAAACTGAAGACGACTGAAACGGATTTAAATTAGGGTTTTTGAAAACTGTTCAGCCTAACAGTTTTTCAAAGTTGATCCCTGCTGCTTGCAACTTCAAAAATAATGCTCAGGAGACATATTTGTTTGTCTCGGATCTCTGATTTTCCCATTTACATGTAATTTCTTTGCTTACTTTAAGTTCCATAGCGATTGAGGGCGAGTAATTGGCAAAATTAAACAAAATGAACTGGACTGCCGTGACACAGCCCCTTTAAGCAAGGGCGACGGCGAAAACAACGACAACGGCAAAAAAGCGATAGGTTTAGCAAAATAAAAACCTTGCAGGTGCATCACGCTTTTTACTAGCTAGCTACATTTCTTAGCCGTCGTTACGCGACTGCGACATAGAAGTTCCTAATTCCACGCGCCCGCGCTACGCAGTTGGTCAACACAGCACAAAAATTTTCTTTTTCTTTTTCTTAACTCAGATACGGTCCTTTCGGATTTAACCCCAGAGAATTTCGTCAACTTTTAACACAGTAAATGAAGCTGAATAAGTTCGATGAAATTTGAAACAGTGCGAGTTTACTTAGTTAAGTGACGTTTTTGGTTTGTCTGATCCAAAAATTTTGCTATTGTGGCAACGTGACCTAACAAAAAAAAACAACAACAACAACCTTGCAGGTGCGCAGCACACTTTTCTGTACATTTCTTTGACCTTGGTTTGCACAACTACAATGTGAAACTTCAACTCATTTTATGTTGGAAAATGTCGCATGTACTCACCAATGTTATGTCATGTTCCTGTTCACTTTTTTTCTACACTGCCGCTCATTTTCACCTTGTTGGCCCCTTTTCTCATTTTCTCACCGCCAATTTCCATGTTTTTCGAAATTTGTCTTTTGTTTTTGTCTAACGATTTAGCTCTGTTGTTGACGTCATTAAAGACTTTAAAATGTAGTCTGACTTGATTTGTCGTTGGTTTTTTTCTCTTCTAAGTCCGGATGGACTCTCTCTCTTTAAAAAGTCGGAGTGGACTCTAGGTTTCCCGCCAAAAAACCCCGTGTTGCATTTGCCACACCTGTTGATTGAGTTATTTTACATTAATACGCTTGTGGTGCGGAAGGGTTTGCGTACGCTCACGTGATTATTTATCTACAGTGAACCAAAATTCTTACCCATGGTGCACCGCTGCGCGCGCGAGAATTTCGGCAAAAATGTTTGTGGTGAACCAAGACGCCAAAAACGCCAAAATAGACCTTTGTCACGCGGCAGCCATTTTGTCTCAGGAGATTTAAAAACTTTTAATTATGCACAGCTAGCCTTGTAGAACCTTAACCTTCCATTGGGGCATGAAGATTTTCAGAGATTTCAAGGAAATTTTTTGACTGATCTGAATTTGTCTGCAAGAAAAATATTAAAACTTTATAGCGACTATCCGCTGGGCAAAAGTTACGGAATCACAGCTTTCAACCTTAAACATTGGAACAATGAACATAATTTAATATCTGTTGCGAGCGTAAAGTCACGGCATTGCTCAAGCACTTTGCAGCGGCAAAAGATATTTAAGTCTTCAGCCTCGCCGACGCCTATTTCCCTTTCGTAATGGATCGTTGCCATTTATAACACGCGATACCATCATGTTGAGAACTGGTAACCAAGCCATTAGTCATGATGTAATATGCTCCCTGGACAAGAACGCCAGTCTCGCTTGCTTAGAGATTAGATAAGAGATAAGGAGGCGATTAATTCTACACGAAGCAGGATTTCTTCGCTAAAAGGTTTCACTTCCCATTTTATCGACGGTCGAGAATTCTTCAGAATATTTAATGAATATTTTCTTCAGAATATACGCGTGTGCAAATACAAATCATTGCTAGAAAGTAGAAACGTAATGAACATGGCGCGTGATTTCAGTCATCGCCAAAAATAAACCGCATGCTCATCACAAGACTCATTTTCATACAATGAAAGTTTACAACGCCCGACCAGTTTATAGCCTCTCCATCGAAGTTTTCAGTTGTTTCAAAGTAATCAACGCTTTTAAGCAATAGAATTCGTGGACCGACCGGTTCTCGGAAAGCTCGACATGTCTGCATCAATCTTCCTAAGCTTTCTTCACAAAACAGAGCATGGCGCTGTGACAGGTAGCAATTTCCATCCTCAGTTTCCACGGTCTCCACTAGTAACGCCTGGGACCATGATTCCCCTTTTCGCGGGCACACAAGCGAGACTAACTACCTACTTTTCTGATCTATGTTTTAAAAGCTTAGCCAGTAATTTTTCTTTTTTTCCGGGGAACAAGTTCCTTCTCTCAACTCAAAAGACTCGTCGTTTGTCATAGTCACTAAAAAAATGTGCGTTTGTTTCGCTTGAGTCCAGCAAACATGTAGGATTCTTGGTCTCAGACCTAATAGTCCGCATTCCTCTAAGCCATCGTTTAACTCTTTTCTGTTTGACTTTGTGTTAACGATTCACCGCAAACCAGCTGCCATTTCTACTTTGATATCGAGCCAATAGTTTCAAATAACTTACTTCCATTTGACTGACGAACTTTATCTTAATACAATTAAAGTATTATACAAGAATATTTTCAGCCTAAAATCGGCAGAAAAAAATAAGACTATTCAGCCTGTGTGTTTTAAACTGAAGAAACTGAAAGTGCCCATCACCTAAAATTTTATATTTTCTTATCTCAAACTATACCTTATTAAAATAACTTCTGCGAAAAAATTTGCGGTGTGAACAAAACGCGATTTTTTTACCAGTTTTTGAAGTCTACATTTTTGCGGTACACCCGCGCCGTTGATCATGCAAACTAGCAGGCTCACATATGACGTCATGTGACGTAAATTAAGGAACTCGCATTACCCAGCGGTACACAAAAAAGATAAAGTACAAGTAAGGTCTTCGCAAGAAGAAGGTTTTTCTGAAAAAGAAAAACCTATCAGAACTCTTAATGTTTTCCTGTCGATAAGGTCACGTGTTCCTTAAAGTACGTCATATGACGCCATACTCCGAGAGAAGACTAAGACGAATGGTGTGCAAAAATGGCGGCAAATTTGAACGTTTTTAAAAAATTATAAACAAATGGTGTTTGGTTCAAATCGCGACATTTTTTCGCAGAAGTTATTTTAATAAGGTGTAGTTTCAGATAAGATAATAATAAATTTTAGGTGATGGGCACTTGAAGCTATATAGCACGACTTACATCTTACTAGCTGCCTTAAAGTTAATAAAGGATACTATAGTGTAAGTTGATTTTTTTGTATTCGATTGCAGTTTTAGGCATATATTACTTTTTGACACATGGTTCATCGGATTGCCACGTCATGTACAAACGGGTGTTTTGAATATTTGTAATTGATACTATATTAAGGAACGGATGATTTATTAAGTAACTAGGGTGCTGTATCTTTAAGCCGCCTCAAACTCTTTAAGTCACTCGTGAACAGGCAGTTTATCAAAAAATTCGATCATGGGTCCAGCAAATGCTGTTGGATTGATTTGAGACGTAAAAATTCCGTTTTCCTCTTATTTTTCACCTCTCAGCTCGTTCTGTCTGACTGTATGTTTGCGATTCATAATTGAAAACCAACTGCCTTTGCTTATTTAAACTTGCGTCAGTAGTTTCATATAACTTCCTTCCTGTTTAACTAGCGAACTTCAACATTTATACCACCTATTGCGTTTCGCTTGAAAGAAAATTAATACTAATTACTGTGTGATGATGACGTTACATTTGAAGTTTTAATTCCGGGTTCAGACATGCAAAGTTTCAATTTCAAGCAAGCTGAGAGTTTGGATATTGTGAGCACGACTTAGACAGGGACTTTTTTTACTACTGTCGCGGAAGACTCAACAGTACTCAATTAAAAACCATTTGCCATCGGAGGAGGAAGTCTGGAGAATATTCAGTAAGTCGCGCAAAGAGTAATTTCCAGCGTCAGTCTCGTGCAAAAAAGAAAACACTTGCAGAGTTCCTCAAAAGTACAGCTGCTGAAACTTAAGACTGTATATAACGCTCCATTCAATGGTGGAAGCTGAAGGTCAGTCTCATTCAAAAACGGATGAAACTTAGAAAGCAATGAAATTCTTTTCATATTATAGAAACTGAACACTGATTAGGGTTATGTAAAAAAAAAGATGGCAAGTGCTGAAGGCTTGCATTTGACACTTGTTATTAACTGCTTCTTCAACGCTTTCTTGTCTTTCACCGCCATCGTATTAAACATCATAACAATGCAAGCGCTCAGAAAAACGTCGTAGTTACCTAAGACTTTAAAAACTTTGCTACTAAGCTTGGCTGTGTCTGATCTGGGTGTAGGCTTACTTGTCCAACCACTGTATGTTGCAATTCTTGTGATGAAAATAAAACAAAACACAAACAGTACTGCTTATAAAGCAGTAAACGAAGTGTATTTAATCCAGAAAAAAACATTGGTCTTTGCTTCGAATTTTAGTGTTTTTGCATTAGCTGTGGACACATTCTTGGCCATTTATCTTCATCTCAGATATCAGGAGCTTGTGACTCACAAACGTGTTGTTGCTGTTGTGATCTCAGTCTGGGTGTTTAGTGCATCAATTTCCATCCTACGTAAATTGTGTGATTGTGATATTATGCGAGCGGTCATTTTAGTTGTTTGTGTCGTAACTACAGGATTGCTTTATTGCAAGATATACGCAGCCGTGAGACACCACACAAACCAGATTCACGCTCTGCAAGTACAACAGGCGACACAGAATGAAGATATGGCAAACGCCACAAGACTGAAAAAATCTTCACTGGCTACATTCTACATTTATTTCGTGTACTTAGTTTGTTATTTGCCAATATGTTGTGTTGTTTTTGCCAAGACCGCTGGTGAAACTCCCTTGTTATCTCATTTATGGTATATCAGATTGACTCTTGTGTTTCTTAATTCATCCCTCAATCCCTTGATCTACTGCTGGAAGATGAGACGCATTCGACAAACTGTTTTGGATATACTTCGAAATATTTTTGCGATTGGTCCACCCTAAAGAAAGGATCTAAGTGAGAATAACTTCTGCCTTTTTCTCTCTGAGCGGTGAAATATTAGCTTTCCGGCAGTACAGTGGGAAAAATGACACTAAATATAAACGAGACCTGAAACCTTCTTGTACTCCCTGTTTGAAGGCAAAGGGATAAATATATGATCGAGTGAGTATAAGTTGATGAGATTTCAGTTTGCTTTGGAATAATATAATTAACAAATAACGGAAACTCGATCTGAAAGCATTATTTATCAAAGTCAGAAAGAGGGCAAAAAGAAAAAGGTACGTAGGTGGTTTAGGACAAGTGACTTGATAAATAGGGGGCCGTCAGTTTCCAAATTTTTATGGGCAAAAAGTTCTGTGCACAGTAAAGTGTCTTAAAAAGTTTATCAGATTTTGTTAGCCATAGTGCATGCGATGAAGAAAACTAACTAAAGAGGAGAGAGTTCAAAACTATATCAATAAATCTTCCATACTGAATGTACCAAGAGTGGCAAAAAGATTTACCGATATAACAACAACAACAACAACAACACATAATAATAATTATTATTATTATAAAAATAATAATAATAAGAATACTAATGATAAGAAGAACAACACAGCCTATTTGTTGAGAAAGACGAAACCTATACTGGTAGTTTATACTGTTAAGAATATATATTACAATAAAGTTCAATAAAGTTCACGTGAAGAAGTTAAAATGTTTTGAAGAATGGTAAAAATATACCATTTAAGAGGCGGTCCGGGGAAGAACCGACCACTCGAATTTCCGCGGAAAACTGAATTTCTTCATTTTTTTTCTGCGACGTAAGTATGATTTTCACTCATGCTTCCTTTATTTAAACAAGGCAAAATATTTAAATTCTGACTTTAAAAAAAGGAATTATTTGTGTTGAAAATACAACGTGAAGCGTCCTTGAAAAACATGAGCGGTTGTCCTACTTTTGATCGATGAAATGATCGAGTTTTTTTTCAAAAGTCTGACGTTATCTGGAGTCTTGGTCACTATCCCTGTTTAGTACTAGGGCTAGTGTATCGAAATCAAGAAAAATATTTTTGGGCACTGTTGATTCCGAAGCACAAGAGTTCGATAAAGTTGGGTAATATTCGACTTTAATTGTTCGTATGACGTAATTTACGCATTTTCGTGATTCCCGAACTTTCACACTGAAAATCGAACCGAGAGAGCAAATACCGTAAAATTCCGAAAATAAGCCCCTCCATGTATAGGCCCCCTCCAAATATAAGCCCCCCAAACTCGTAACGCAAAAAACCCTCCGTTAAATCGCCCCTCCAAATATAAGCCCTTGGGGCTAAATGTACCTGGAAAATTGCCCTCAAATACAAAGTAAAACAAAGCAAAAACGGTAAATTTACTTTCAACTATAAGGCTAGCCCAATCGATTTTGAAACGCAAATTTCCCTCCGTAGGTAACCCCCTCCGAATATAAGCCCCTCAAAAAGGGCCTTTGAAAAATATATAAGCTCCGGGGCTTAATTTTGGAATTTTACGGTATATTAAAAAGTAGCTTTTATTGTTCGAGATAAACTGTAAATAACTAACAACTTACCAAAATGCTACACGAAAGCAGAAATTGCGAAGTTTAATAGCCGAAATTATCGATTCCGGCGTAAGTTGTGGTCTAAGTTTTCTTCTAAAAAGTTGTTAACAAAATTTATTTCAATTAAATTGGTCTTAGGTTTGCATGATCAACAAAGAAAGAAAAAATCTTTTCATTCAAGTTAAGCATGTAAGAATTTGACGAAAGTGAGTTCTGTTTAAAAGAATTACACATTTTATTAAAAACACTCGGTAGAACGCAGCCGCACTTCAAATCATCTGAAGAGTGTTAATTTCCCGTCACGTTGGCTGCACGTGAATGTCAGTTTTTTTTTAGCTTGTCACGCTTATTTACTTTTTTTTATTACGGTTGACAAAAAACATGTTCTTTTCTAATTCGACTTTTTAAAAATTATAAAAGTCATAAAACGTCTTTTCAAGTTTTTGAAAAATAACTGCCCTGCCTTTTTCGTTCCCTTTCATGAATTCGAGGTTGAAAAACCCTGCTGGTTACTTTAATAGCAGTTTGTGCCTTAATGCGGCTGGTTACAGCCACAGCCTTCAAGAAATTCGGATAGGCTCGCTACAAGATTTTTTTTTCTATCGCGAGAACTAAAAGGAATTTTAAAGTATTTCAACATGTCCTTGAGCATAGCAACGCTAAATGTTTCAAGTTTCTTATCGAGTGAAAGGTCACATAAACAGTATGAATCATAGCAGATAGGATGCTTAGGACCAAGGTGGGTGGCCACCTCTTCCAGGACGGCTCGTCTCTCCTGCTGTTCCTGTTCTGCCTGTACGTCTTCATTGAGCGCTTCCAGATGTGCTTTTCTTCTTCGCGAGGCCGCTAGCCTGTACTTGACCTTTTGTGAGCCAGTGTTTCCTTTCAAACATCAGAGAACTATCTGGGTTTCTTGCAGTTCGCATATCTGCTGCCATTTTTGCGGGATCTGACTTGATGCCAGTTCTTTCTCCAAGGTCAAATTTCGCTGTTAGCTACTGTTTAACCTCGGTAGGAAAACGCACAGCTTCGTTTCGGGGCTTGTGTAGAGGTCATCCAGTCTACAAGTCATTGCACTGGGGAGAGCGGCCAGTTTCATTCTTTTCGTGACGCTCCTCTCCAACTGCTTCGGGCATGCTTCTGATTTAATTTCTTCGTCCTTATCAACAGTACGAAATTTGTCCGCCCAGTCTCTTCTGAGCTTGTCATACACCGTATCAGAGTTTCGGCGAACTTGGCTGTGCTCACCAAGATCAAGGTGATTTTCGAGTTCACTGAATTTCTTGAAAACCATGTTGCACCCGGGCTCAGAACAAGAGAAAAGACCGTTGCATTGTTCATTTTCACTGTTTGTCTCTCTCTTATATACTCCAGCTTCTTTAAGAGTAAAGAAGTTCTCATGCACAATGAGATCAGTAGGACCTTGAGGTTCAGTTATGACCTCTCGGTAAGGAATAAACCTGCCTAGTCCAACACCATAGGCTCTCCATGCTCTAATTCCTTCCACTTCAAACTTGAAATTGTGATACTTGCTGAAACCTTCCATCTTATGTACTTCGAGTGTCTTTTGAGTCTCAGTCATTGCACACACGGAGGCAGTTGTACCTTGAACAGGGCGTTCTGAGAGCGCTACACGCATGTCTTTCGCAGAAACGACATCGTGTCCCTCATTGCAATATCGTCGGATGGATGCTTTCATTGGGCAAAGGATTCTAACACAGATATCTTTTCCATACTGCGGCTCGGAAAAGTCATACCGTGCTAGTTCAATGCCTACTAGTCTTCCGGCATCTCTAACGGCGGCTAAGAGAAAGGTATTGTGGTAACACCCTGCTTCGTCACTCCTTAGGTTCACTTGGGTAATCTGGGGATGTTCTTTCTTGACAACCTCAAGTGTGTCTTCGATGATCGAGCATACTGCGTACCAGTCTTGCTGGCAAGAGTCGAAGATATGAGCATACGATTTCAGCTCAATTTTTCCAGAGTCAACATTCTTAGTTATACAGGTGGAAATATGCCAGCTGAGCCCCCGTTTGCCGAACCATTTAGACTGTTTCTCACGAAATTTTATTTGGAGGAACTTCATGGCCCAGTCCATGATCAGAATGGCTGCCTGTGGGTCTTCTGATTTCAGTGCATCTTGTTTCGCCTCCTCTTGATTTATTGAGCACACAATGTGCGCTTTCCACAGCATGATGTCTGAATGTGCACGGTCAAAGTCGTAAAGGAAATCTTCTTGTTTTTCGGAACTATAAGGCTTCCATGATGACTCTTCAATCGCTAGTCTCACTTCCTTTAGAACATTCTTCAGCCCTTGGCATTGCTCGCAAGTCGATTGATGCTGATGCGGACAAGGATGCTGGAGCTCGAGATTAACAGGATCACTAAGCGCAAACTTTCTACAGCAAGTAGAGTGAGACTGTTGACAGTGCACACAGTAGTCAGTTTTGAGATAGCGTTTAGCATCGCGTAGGTTTTGGCAAATACGTAGACACCACTGTTTTTCCATTCCTCTTTTCTCAAGAGTTTCAACCAGCGTCTCGATAGTCTGAAAGCCCTCAGCACCATTTGCAGCTGTATTGTTTAAGCCCTAGAGCGATTTACTCTGAGACGCTTCTCGAATTTCTAATATTTTGAACAGCGTAGACCTACTAAGTGGCTCGTGACATTGCTCTTTGCAATAATCCAAGTATTGCTCAATCATTGTAGACCTGGTCAGGATCCTTACAACGTTAGGCATCTCAATTCTGTCACCATTATCTAGGGTGAGTACCTTGTTACCATATGAAACATCCTGATAAAAATACGGTCCATTAATGAATTCTACAAAGTGGTCGACCTTCCCCATATCAAGGCGTACGCGATGCTTCGTCTTGATTTCAGGGATGATCCCAGGGCCGTGCATTTTAGCATGAGAACGTGCATGCTTTATTTCCCATGTAGAGAGACTTCCGTAAGGTTTGTAAATTTTCTTCACCTTGGTCATAGGGTATCTTTTAGCGTAAAGGCTCAGAATCTGTTTCTTTAAATTCTTGGTCTTCGCGTTCTTATAAGCAGTCTTCAGCACCACAAGATCATCGGGAGCTGAGCCATCAAATATTTCTCTTTGTACAGACATCATTGACTCGAAGAGCTCCTCCCCCGTTACCTCGACGGGGCAATTACACTACATACGTGCAAGCAGTCCTCTTTAGCCTTTTTTACAACTTTCAACTGTTCCCCATCGCTTAAGTTTTGGAATGAAGTTTTAAGCTGATATTTAAGGGGCTCGCGTTCTACTTTTTCTTGTGTAATAAGACTCGCAATTGTATCCATCGCCTCGTTATACCTGCCGACTGCATCGGTTACCACGGGTGAAGTAAAAGAGGCCTCCTCTGACCCTGGAGTCCAGCATGGTGTTATGGGATTCCAAGACGTTGGCGTTGATTGGTCTTCAAGAAATGGAGTCGAAGTGACCATGCGACCGATGGCTCCCACAGCAGCCTCTTTAGCAGGTCTGCGGAGAATAGAAATGGAACGGCTACCCTCCCGACAGTACCTTTGAAGGAGCACATCTCCCTCAGTTTCCTCAGGGTGTAGCCAGTCTGATTTCCGATCTAATTCTTCACTGTGTTTCTTTCTGCACGTTGTGCAAATACCTAGTAACAAAAAGAAACAAAAAAAAGTTTTGCAACCTGGAAAGACTTGTTAAAAAATACTAGATTTACTACTACGTTGATAAAAGAAACTACCGTATATCTTTTTAGTAAAATCCAACTAGTGGTCTATTATCAAAGTTGCGTTCTGATTGGTTGAGCTACTACTAGGCTTTATGTTATAGCCCCCTAGTAGCGAAAAGCGCCGGCTTTGAAAACCAAAACAATATGGCGGCTGAGTCGCGTTTTGCTTGCTAAAGTTTTTTTCTTTTTCGGTATTTTTGACCAACTAGTTGGATTTTACTAAAACAATTATTCCTCTCGCCCTCATGGCCTCTGAGTTAATAGCCCATTCGGGCGCGAGGAATTTTTCTCTTTAAGTATCCCATCTTGGAAATTATATTATATGGTCTATAATCAGCGACCAGATTTATGGATGACGCACAGCAAAGAACTATTGTTAATGAACTACAAAAACCAAATTATGATCATTTGATGTGTCATTTGTTTGGAAATGATTTTCTGGCCCAAAATACTATCAAATACGAGATCGATCGTTTAACGTTCAGGAAATATATAGAGTGGGACTTCCCCTCAGTATATAGCTCGCTTTTAAGTAATTAGATAAGGAACGAAAGTATCTAGTTGAAATGTTCAGGAAGACGAAATTAAATTAAGTGAACGACGCCAGAAAAATTAACTAAAATTAAATTAAAAACATGAAGAAATAGTAAACCAGCAGAACATTTTTATTCTTAATAGTAGCCAGTTTTTTGTACTTTGTTTATTTTACCTCGTTAAGCCTGATAAGTAGTTTCAGCTTCTACAAAATAACATCCAACATGTTTTGCACTGCGAACTGAAATCTGAATTTGACATCGTCAGACACAACATAAATTATGTCGTCTGCACACAAAAACTTGTGGCTAGAAAATTCGGTACATTTTGGTAAACGATTTCTTTGTTGAATCGTGTTATAACTTTTGGGGTGGTAATTACAAGGTAAATCAATTGATGATGTATTTTGATTTTTTTTACCATTGGTAGCCCCTTTATTTCAGGGAAATTTCTAAACTGTTTAGCCACAACTTGACATGGCAACATTCACCGGAGTTTGAAAATAGCTGCTCCCTGACAGTAATGATTTTCAGTTTTTTAGTGGGAAAGTTCGGAAATGTGCAAATTACGTCATACGCACAATTTTACAGTATAATATTACCCAACTTAATCGAACTCTTGTGCTTCGGAATCAACAGTGCCCAAAAATGTTTTCCTTGACTTCAATACACTACCCTAGTACTGAACAGGCATAGTGACCAAGACTCCAGATAACGTCAGACTTTTGAAAAAAGCTCATTTCAAAACTAGGACAACCGCGCATTTTTTTCAAGGACGCTTTACGTTGTATTTTCAAAACATCATAATTCCTTTTTTTAAGTCAGAATTTAAATATTTTGCCTTTTTTGAATAAAGGAAGCATGAATTAAAATCATGCTTTTGTCTTATGCTACTTGGATAAATGTGAAATTTTTTGCGAGCCTTGAACAAAACGCTTAAATTTGACCTTAAAAAAGACGATCATGACAGCTTTGGATCGACCGTCCAGGCAAATCGCCGCCCAAATTTCTTTTAGGGCCTGTTTACATGGAGGTGAGGGACCCCAGGTAGGTGAGGTAACCCGTTTAAGTGGGTTAACCCGCCTGTCCATATAATCTCTCAGTTTAAGTTGATCACGTTTACATGATTGGTGGGGTGACCCGCCAAGGCGGGAGACCGGGTAACCCTCCCTGCCGGGGTGAAATTTTACCATAAACGTTTCAAGGTGGGGTAACCCGCTTAGCCGGGGTCGGTTTCGTGATACATCGAATTCGCGCAAAAATCACTTTGGCGGAGGCTGTGCATCATTATTAAAGGTAAAAATAGAAAGCTATAGGACTGAAGGTTGCAGCAAGAGCAGCAGGTGAGTGTTGAATAGCATTAATAGCCAAAACACGTGGTTTGCCAGCATTTTTCTTGTGTACGTGAAAGCGACCATTGAATAATCTTGACAAAGTGTGTCCCGGGATGGCGGGGTTGTAAGATTGCATGTAAAGGAGGGTTATTTTTTTACCCCACCTAAGCGAGTTACCTCACCTACCTGGGGTCCCCCACCTTCATGTAAACAGGCCCTTAAAAAGCACTCTGAGCCAAATAAATTTGGTTTTTGTTAATGGAATGGACTAATTATGTCGCAGAAAAAACGTACTGCTTTCCGCCGAAATTCGAGAGGTCGTTTTTTTCACGGACCGCCTCTTGTTTATACACAGCTAGCCACGTAGAGAGAACGAGGCTAGCCGTGCATAAACAAAACTTTTTAAATCTCCTGAAACAAAATGGCGGCCGCTTGACAAAGGTCTATAGCCTAATTCCTTTGAATCGCGTATCGTATGTCTGGCCTAGAGGTTAGTCCCTATAATGACCAATGCGGGGAGGCTCGACCCGATTCCATGCCTCAGGTACATGAAAGGGTAAGGATTTCATTAGTTGAAATAAATGAAACGCTATGGAAATTTGTCATTTCGGTCCGTAGAAAGGCCCAACACAACTGAAAGATGCATCATGTCTGTGAGAGAGTCGGCGCGTAAAAGCTCTGTGGCTTTCTGATTTGTTCACATTTAAAAGACAGTACATTTACAGCAGTTCAAAGGGATACAAAGTTCTAAACTAGGTATGTGAAAGGGGTACCATTTATCAATAGAAGGCAGACGAAAGGAGTACTGTTGAAGTGACAAATGCAATAATTGACCACAAATGTAGTAAAAATTAGCCACAAATGTAATAGAAACCTAAAATGCTATCAAAACCGTATATTAATCGAAAGAGTACCACTTTAAATTACAGGCGGACACAAATAAGTTCCGCGGCACCCTAGCCTTCGTAGCAGGCGCTAGGAAATAAATGGGCGCAGGAAAAAACGCGCGCGAGAGAAGGAAACACGCGAAGGGAAAGGGCGTGCGCACTCGCGCGCGCCCGTTCTTTCTTGCGCTCATTTACTTCCTAACGCCTCCTACGCAGGCTAGCGACACCCTTTCGAAAAACACAATTCTATTGCATTTAATTCAAAGAGCGCAGCCCTCAAATAACTTTCGCAACTTAAAATCGAAAAACAATAAGCGCGGTGGCGCTCTTTCAAGTAAACAGAATTTACTACACTCTTCTTGCGCCCGCTCGCTCGCTCTGCGGACGAGAAAATTTTTTTTTACTTGGCCTGACCGTATCAGCAAATCGGGACAAGTGTGCGAGAATTTGCATCATATATTGGGAGTGTCACGTGGACAAACTGAAAGCAAGGGGTGACTCCTGATCTGCCTTCCCCGCGTATGCGTGGGAGGACTGCCGTGCGGTTCTCAGCCAGCAGCTCCCAAAATTGGCTTAATGACCAAAATTGTGTTTCCCCAAGTTCAACACGGATACAAACTGGAAAATATGAAATCTGCGGCGTTTCCATACCTGTAGAAGACAGAAGGTGCTTGGTTTGCAATGGGTACAATGTATTGCGACAGGAGTTTATTAATTTTCTTTCAAGTAAGGATGTTGCTTTTGTGAATCTTACTGCCCATGACAGAATAAAATATTAATTAACAGCAGACAATAATACTTGTAAAATAATAGTCAAATATATTAATCTTACGTTCAAAAAGAGGAAAGAATTATTGAAAATGTAACTTGATAGAAAATCTTTGATGATTTTATGGTGCGTACATCATTAGTTAAACGTTATTTAACAGTTAATGAATGAGGCTGAGTATCTTATGAAGAATTATGGAGATCGAGGAGGGTGTTATCCGTCGAGGCCGTAGGTAATTCTTCATATGATACGAAAGCCAAATTCAATAACTGTTTTATTATTCATTCAAAATAATTCCTAGTTTAAAAACATAGCTAAAACATGGTTACCTCCATCGATCCATCGATGTTCAGTTCATCTTCGACAGTGTACATTTAGGTTCGTCCAGCTCCGCAAATATTCTCCAAATAGCAGACATCGCCCTTCGATTTGTCTTCTTGCTGTTCTGGCCATGTTTTTAGCTATTTTTTCGCCTAGTTCTTACTCTTGAAACGAGTGAAATGTCCGCCATTTTTTCAAGTTCACAACCAAAACAACTCAACCTCGTCCCCGATTCTTCTCGGTTAACGGTGCCTTTACCTGCAAAAACGCTGCATTTTTGACGTCATTTCCTCGTTAAAGTCAAAATTCTTCCAAATTTGGTCATCAGTAACTGGTTATGGTGAATTAAACGTGCGCTTTTAGCCAATCAGAATCGGGGAAATATTTTGAATGAATAATAATGTTACTTAAATGTAAAAGACCTTCATTGTAAACAGACCGATACCCCCATATGGAGAGTAACGCACTCCATATGGAGAGTAAGACACAAAAAAGATACTGTTAATGTTACTGTTACTCCAGCGAGTGTCACATAAAGTAAATACCATCATCAGTTAACAAAACGACTTCTTCCAGATCAATGTCTGTTAAATAGTACATGCTTGAAAGTCGTATTTTTCTAGTTACAAGAAAGTAGAGAAATCTGACTTGATGAGAGCGCGCTGATAGGCCACTCCCGCTTTAGATTTATCTGCAAGACGCTGTTAAGAGTTTATAAAAGACCATAAAAAGCCGTAATTATATTTGTTTTCATAATAAGTTTCGTGCCAGATGAATATTGTTGAATGTATAGCAAATGTTGGAGCCATGATGTAAAGGAAGAAAGCTATTTAACAAATGGAGGACTTTTTTTGCATGCAGTTGTAATGTTAAATTTAATATCAATTCGGCTTCGAAAGTTAGAGCGTAATTTGGAACTTCTGAATCCT